CTAGAATAGTTGAGGGTGTTAGTATAATTTCTAGCGATAAGGGTAATATAATTATTATTTCCTATATCTTTTTAACTTCTTTTTATTAAGGTAATTGGATTATTCTCTATGAATATAGCTATAGAATTATACTATCTACTTTAACCTAGATTTAGTAACCGCTATTTATTACTTTATAAATTTCATTAATTATTTAATTTAAAAAAATAATATAATATTTAATAACGTTACCGTCACTACTACGTACTAGATCTTTATAGTTAACCGGGTCTTTTTTAAGGAAGGTTACTGCGCTGGCTCTAACGATCTCGCTAGTATAGAGATTTTAAATAAATACGATACGCCCGTAAATATTATTAAAACCGATAAAATAACCCTTTTGAATTCTAGCGCAAAATTTATTACTTTATAATTGTTTTTCTAATTTAATAAAGTAGTAAGCCGTATAGAAGTAAGACCTTAAGTGTTTAAAATATAGCTTCTTAATTTCGTTTAGGAAGTTGGCTGTATTAGCGAGTAATTCCTATAGGCTTTTATTATTATAAGCTTTTAAAGGTAGAAAGTTAAAAATTCTAATAATATAATCTATTATAAATAGCTATAAATATTCTAGGATATTAAGGTTTATTATTAGAACTTTAGCATATTATATAATAATAGCGCTAACTCTCTCGATCTTTCCTTATATCTATAGGGTATAAGGTATTGATTTTAGTAATTCTACGCCTTTTATACGTACTTATTTAACGATTTTACTACGTTGAAATTCCTTGGTATTGAAGCTAAACTTTGGACCGCTATTAAGATTAAATACCCTAATTTTGAGCCCACCGCTTTAAAGCTCGGCCTATTTCTTAAATTCTTTAATTTATACGAAGGCATTACCCTTATTAACTATAAACCTTACCTAATAGAATCCAATAATTTAATTAATAAAGTAGATTATATACTTGTATCCTTTATAGTTAGGTAAAATATAGAAAACGATATCGATATAAATATAAATTAATAATTGAATTATTATTTTATTAGCGATTTTAGGGATTATATTGTGTACCTTTACTTTAATATAAGCTTTGTAAAAGTAATTTTAGGTATTATTTAATTTAATACCAGCCGCTTCGCAAACTTTAAAAACTTAGTCTTTACTTATATATATAAAGCGGCGGTGTATTATTAAGTAGTTGATTAAGATTATTATAGCGTAGCGGACGTTTTAAGGAAAGTCTGGCTAAGTAAATATTAGAAGAATTAGAAGGCCGTTAATCTATTTATATTATATTATAATTTTACTATATATTAAGATCTAGTTAGTCTTTATATCCTAAATTATACCGTTATTAAGAAGACCTTTTATTATTAATAAATTTATTAGCGTAGAGGGATTGTAAATATAGTCTTTAATTCTAACTTTGATAGTAATATTATTTAATATAGCTATAGTTAATTCAATAGTGCCGATATAGTAGGCATAAATCGAAGTTCTATTACCGATAATATAGACTATTGGATGGGGAAGTAGTTATATATTTGTAAACTATTTAAAGTAGTTGAAGATATTGTTTGTATAATTAGAGTTGTAAATAATTAAATTTCGAATACTATTTGGTTATTAATATTACTTTAGAATTTATTAATTTTTAATTGAATTATTATAGGTATATTAAAATTGAAGTTACAATTAAGAATAATTAATTAATCAATTATTCTAAGTACAATTAATACGTTTAATAGTATTAGCTAGGGGTTCTAATAAAAATCTATATTATTACTTATACTTAATATGCTTATAAATATTCTACCTCTATATAATAAAGTAGAGTTAATAATAGTAGCGGGAGTAGTAAGATTGGTTAAAACATTATTAGTAAGGGTATTAATACTAGCGTTAATTGCCTTCTTAGCTAATATATCCTTCTTAGGCTTTTAAATATCGGGTACCTTCTTAAAGTAGTAGACCTAATAAATATCCGCCTTCTTACTAATATAATAATTATAAGAAATATACTTTTAAATTAAATAAATTTTCTTATTATAATTAATATAGTCGATCTTCTTACTATTATTCTTCTTTTTATTAGTCGAACTACTATTACCGTTATTATTATTCTTATTAGTATTATTATTATTAGCCGATTTTTAAATATTAACATTAATACTAATACGGGACTTAATATTATTAATATTACTAAACTTCGATAGGAAGGTGCCAATATCTAGTTTTTTAATTTTTAAAGTAGTTACCTAGTATCTAACATCAATAGGGTAAACGGTCTTTACCGTATTATAAAGGAAGGTAATTTTAAAATCGTTATTAATTTTGAATTTAGTATCTTCAATACGCTTATAAAATAGGGTATAATAAGTAAGGAAAAAATTATAGTATTAAAATTAGTACATTTAATAGTTAAATATTCAGCGAAAATTTCGTTACAAACCTTATTAGTAATATAAGTAATATATAATTGAACGAGATTATACGTAATTTTGGGGTCTCTACTAGGTCTATCCTAACTATTAATATATAAAGTAGTAACAATATCAGAGTTCTTAAAAGTAGAGAGTAGAATCTTATTAGCGTTAGTACGTCTAATCCACTAAATATTATACTTCTCAGGCTCTTTCTCTTTATTAAGCTCCGGGATTATTTTAAAAACGTACTTAGCGAGCTAAAAGTAATCGAATTCGGCTATAAATCTTTAATACTAATCAGCGATATTTTAATCGCTAAGGAGGGGAACTAGTAACGAATTAATAATTATTGTAAGTATAGGAGGGTTCGATATATTAAAAAGAAGGAAGTTGGTAATTGTTAGACTAGTTATTAATTAATTTGAATAAATTATTTAATTTAATAATAAATGAACCGATAACTAGTTCAATAGAGGGGTTGCTATACAATAAGTATTAGTAAGAATCTTTATATGGCGAAGTTAGTTTGTAGGCGAGCGGGCGAGTTGTTAAGTCGACGAAGGTTGTGGTTGCTTCTTTTGACCCGGTATTGTAGCGTTTTATTGAAGTTGGCGATTGAAGCCGACAATGCACTTTCAGGATACGTTTATTACTTATCTAAATGCAATTATAGGGAAGGTTAGAGAGGGCTTATAACCTGTGAGATCACTAACGAAATCAAGCAGTTGAATGTGGTTAATTGAGTGTGCTATGGAGAGAGAGAGAGACTGGTAGAGTCTGGAAGGTTAGATATGGTGCGGTCTGGGCAGGGCACAGAGTGGGGACTGGGCTGTGCCCAGTCCAGTGAATGGCTCAGCCCAGTGAATGCCCGGGACCCACCAACAAAAGACGATAATAGGGGTTAATTGTTTGTTAATAGTAATCCCGTATTTAATAATAAATACCTAGGCTATTATATTAATTGTTGTCAGGTATACCTTTTTTATTAGGGCGGTTCTAAGCACTTTACTATCCTTTAATTCTAATTTTTAAAGACTATATTTATTTATATTCAAAATATTGGTAAGAACGATACCCTTATTGTAAATCTGGGCTTCTAAAAAGTCGAAGAATTTCGTAAAGGCTTCCTAGGTAGACCCTCTAATTCTTACTAATTTAAGCGGTTTAGAAAGCTTAGTCCTAATATTAGGGTTATACTTTAAGAATCGGTCTACCTAATGGGCGCCTAGCTTATTATAATTACCTCCTCTTTTCAATATCGATGATGCGAACCCTGATAATTGACGATGGTTGGGAGTACGGCTAGCCTTCTCTTTATTTAATATCTATTGGTAAATAAAGGTTTTTTAGGCTAGTAATAGCCTTTAGGTAGTGATTTTAATGTTGCGCTTTGTTAGGACGCTTCGAACGTAGTTACCGAGGGTAGAGTAGGGAATGCTATACTTCTTAGCTACTATACGTTGAGAGTGTCTGTTGCGAATGTTTTTAAGCGCTTGTTTAAGTAAAGGCGAGTCTATTGTAGTAGAAATGAATGTAATCGGGCTTGATTTGATGAAATGGTTGTTGTTCTTAGAAGCAAGGTGGTGATGTTGCATGAGGGGAAACAGCGGTGTGGATGTGGCTAGTTGAGGGCCAGGAATGTAGGTAGGCGTAGGAGCTCGATGACGTCGACGTGAAGAGGGGGGTGGCCAGCTGTGGGGTTAAGACTGGCAGTATTGTCACAAAATATCCGTATCCGTCAGTCTCTTACAATTCCCTTGAGCTGAGATCCAAAGAGATATGTAGTTCATATATTGACTTGGCGAAGTGAGGTGCTTGTCTCTGTTTATCGTCGGTATAGTTGTGAAAATTTCGAACCAAACGGCACCTTAACCATTGAACGTCGTAGCGGAGGGGTCATCCGGGACTTGAGTGAGGGAATAATTTGTTGGGCCTAGGTAGTTGGTCTGTTTTGTTCAAAAATAGTGAATTGATGACTCGGTAGGAGCAGTTGTAGAACTTCCAGTTATTTGCGAGGAGTAGTAACGGATGTTATCACTTTGTTGCACTTTTGACTCCTTGCTTGCTTTGAACGTTCTTGGTCATACGAGTGACAGTTCAGCTGTTCTCCCCGGCTTGCTATTGACTAGACACTTAAGAAAGGCGACTGATAGATGCTTTAATCTGAAGTGGCCTGGAATGCTCCAGCCATGTTTAACAAACATTTGAAAACAATGGGCCTGAACGGCCCCCACAGTCAGGGAGATGCTAACTGGGAACTTGATCCCGACACTAGGTAGGTATTGTTCGATGCCAATATGTAGAGGTATCTAGGATGCAAGTTGTAACCTTGGCCCTGGGGGCCAGAAGAAAACCGATATATATATATTGTTAAGTAGACCAAAATTATCTAGCCTGACACGTCTTTTGCGGTTACCGAGATCCTGAGATGAGGTCCTTCACCCATCAAGGGTGTTCTCTCCGGGCATCAAACAGAACTATCGTGGAATCAATCCTAAATGTGCGGAAAGTGACTGCCGCAATTAGGTCTTATGATACATCCATAGAGTAGTCGGGTAAATGCAGTCCATTTATTGCGGCATTCGTTTGTTCCGATCCTAATCCGTTGACGTCGAGTGATGCAAGGAGTGACTGCCGATGCGTGAAGATTGGTAGTACACAACCAGAACACAGAGTTTGTAGTGATAATTACTGCGTGGAGCAAAGTATTACCGAGGACGTGGTTTTCAAAAGTTCCAGTACAGAGCGAGTGTCCCACTGGCCCGGGGTGAGGTTTCAGGTGGACAGGGACAATATCTGGTCCGGAGATATGGATGGAGTAGCGTCAAGGGCCGAGTATAAACAGTGGGTGTCTTGAGTTACTTAAACCTATGCAATACAGTATTCAGGTTTCACAAACCAAGGCCGAGTATTTTCCTCCTCTTTTGGCTTCCTTATCCACTCATTGGAAAGCCGATATCAGACGGCTTTTAGCAGGTAAAGACACTCGGTCCAGGGTTCTTGTACGAGGTAGGTACGGGATAGTTGATGTTGATCAGAATACCGGGATCGGAAGCCTTGTAGGCCCCAGGAAATGAGACTTTGTAGTTAGCACCGGGTTCAGTGCTGCCGCTACCGGTGATGCTGAGCTGAGCGCATGAAATGTAGAACTGGGCAGCTCCTGAGCTCTGAGCGACGTGCAGTCCAATGTGCTCGGCACGGAGGAGATAGCTGCCGGACTTGATGCAACTGGGAATTTTGACGGGGAAAGAGCTCTTGCCTGTATGGATAAAGATGTAGTGTCAGTATCTGGACAAGTATGTGTGGCTGTTCTCTACCGTGATGAGTCGTGCACTCTTACCATTGCTAGACCATGTAAGCTGTGAGCCAAATGTGGGTTGCTCGTGATAGATCTTGAACCAAACAGCACCTTCTCCGGTCCAACTGTTAATATCCTGGCCGTCCGGAACTCTGGCCAGGTAGAACTGCATTGGCCCCGGGTGGTAGACGCTGGGAGCTGCGCCGTATGTGATGGTGGTGCCAGCGGCGACACTGAGAGTTGACGGGGCAGGGCTGTGGGAGGATTGGAAGCATCGAATTTGCTGCGAGTTCACATTGTCGACAAAGCCATTGTTCTGCCAGTTATCCGCCTTGCGAACATACTGCCAGTCGGCAGTTGTTCCGCTGTTTGCCCACACCTTGGGAAATGTGTAGTGGGCGCTAGTGCCGAGTGCAGCGGCGAGGAGGAGAGAGATCGAGGGAAGCATAATGGGCCAGTGGAAATTCCGTAATCAACAGGATCCTGAAGTTAAGACTTGGGTGCTGGACCTTTCACCCCAAGCTATCGAAAGTTGGGAATGAAGGCCCTTTTCAACATCTATATCATTCCCTGATACCCGGTCAGGCGACGCAGGTCGTCAATGCACATCACTCTCTACATGTTTCAATGGCAAGCCATAACCTCTTAGAGCTCCTTCCGTGACCCGATACGGCATGAAAGTACTTGGCGGAGGCTGCCGTTCCATGGTATTCAGATTTAGATAGCCGGACGGCCGCCTTGTCCCGGCCGGATAAAGTCATGGTCGACCACTCGGAGGGTCACAGAGGATTCGAACACTATAAGACATACAACGGGAGTTGGGAAGCCTCCTCCATTCCCAGATTTCCGTATGCTTGGAGGCGTTGCGGGGTGTGCGTATGAAGCCTGCAAGATGCCAGCGGAATTTCGACTTGTCCGGTTCTCAGAGTCTAGCCCGAGATCTTTCAAAAACGTCAAAGGTTTGGTTCGGTGCGATGCATCCGTTATCCCTTCTGGGCAAGTCGATTGTTGACAGTGCCGAGTCTCGCCAAGCACAAAATACCGGCCACGCTTGACGTTGTTTATACCCTTGAATAAAAGCTTGGACAAAGTATCGAAGGGATCATTTGGTCTTCTTTAGAGGGAAACGTATCGCCGCTGATAAAACCAGATATCTTGGTGACAAGTGAGGTTGGGGTTGCCGCCTCGTTCGGAAAACTTAACATGTTGTTGACTTTGACACATGTCATTGGATGACGCTGGGTGGAGTTAGTGCCGTGCATGTATTCGTGCGCTAGACTAGAGCGCACCGGAGTGGGCGACGACCCCAAACTCCTTCCTTCTTTGGCATCAAGAATGACACCTTATCTAGGTAGGCGGCGCCCGCGCGGATCATGGCGTGCAACTCGGGGCAAGAATGGAGGGAGCCCACCTCAGCCACGACCAGGAACTCAGATGTTTCTGTGTAGACGTAGGTATCTACGTTTCCTGCTCGATAACCAAAGTAACCACCCCGCATCCTCTGTGCTACCTGCAAACTTCTCCTTTCGTTCATCACCATAATGCCAGTTCAAGAGTCCATAATCCCAATGCCATCCGGAAAGATGTCCAAGACTGGTCCAATTAGTCTACAAGTCCTTCGGGTCAACACCAGAGAGATAGGGGAGAGCAATGCGCAGCTTGTTGATGCTTTGGAGGCTGCGCTCAACACCAATGATGATGCTCTCATTCCCCAGGCTGCCAAGCGCCTCGCAGACCAGCTAGACAGCACCATACTCACACGCGACGACCCTGCGGACATGGAATCGGAGGTTGAGGACGCTCGGTATAACGTATACACCACCTTGTTGGCAGCAGTGCAATTAGTACCCGCCGGCCATGAAGCGCATTACCGGCTGGCTTTGGTTTTACGTGATTTGGCTGGCCTGGATGGACATCCTGTTAGTCTTCTGTTACGGATCTATCCGGAAGGGTTGAGTTGCTGACACTGATTCTGTAGGCATGGCAGCGCTTGGACGGCTTCGCCATCTGCAACCGAGATGCATGGCAAGGTAGGCAAACAAGTAGACTCCATGCAATTCAAGCTAGGAGTCTGACAGGTTGAGATCCATGGTTGCTAACACCAGCTAGATCCAACCCTCAGCTTGGAATCTGCCACCGATCCAGAGATCCACGAACGATGGTGCAACCTCAACGCATTCCTAGCGATCTTGCTCAGCACGGGCGCAATTAACTGGCGGGAATTACCCATTTGGGAACTTCGCGATGGTCTGGAGGAGAGCGTGGAGGAGCTCTCCCAGGAAGGCAAGGACACACGGGTTGTGGTTGCCACCTTGTGGATCAAGCATGCTGGAAAGTTCATCTGGGAACATTCCCTTTCAGGCAAGCCGGAAAACTTGGATGAGACTGATTCAAGAATGCTTAGAGCTGGAGAGCTATATCAAGGCCAGCCGGGGTACTCGCGAGACCGATGGGACTTTTGGAAGAGGCGTCTTGGGGAACTACGGAGCCATGTGAGCGAGTCGCGAAGCTCTGCCATTGACGAAGCCATTGAGACCATGACAGAACTGGAGAGCAAGAGCTGAATAACTTGGTGAGGAATATAATGCCTTTTGAGGGAGATTGGGCCAAGGACCTATGTCCGCTTCTATGTGGTATTTGCCGGGGTCTATGACTCGAGACGTCCACAACCCACAATGTAAGGTGGTCAAGTGGTGCACAGTAGAGAGATCGGAAAAGATAGACTCGTCAAAATACAAATGGCTTCAAAAGAGAGAACTCGATCTGTGCGGTGATCACAAAGTTTCTATTTGGTGATTTGACGGCACATCGACAAGCAATCGTGTACAGAGGATATTGCTGCAAGCTTATTTTGGGACTCCATTTATAGAACCAAAAATATTACTAAATTTTCAATAAGGCCTCATGGCGCAACGGTAGCGCGTTCGACTCCAGATCGAAAGGTTATCCGTTCAAATCGGGTTGGGGTCAATCATCACTGTTTTTGCGATCTTCTTCATTCTATGTGCTGTTGTCCAAAAGTTAAATTTTTTTTTTTTTAGTTTTTTTTTCTTTCTTTTTTTTTTTCTCCCCCAAGTACAAGCACGTGGTCGCACAGTGGTTAGTTATTCCTTGTCCGCACACCAATGAGGATTGCGAAGGAGTTATACTACATTGTCTCGACTGTACGATCTCATTTCAGGTTGTTGGGTGAAATTGGTCGAGCAACAACATACCTAGACCACTCAAACTGTACGGGCACATACCTAGACCACTCAAACTGTACGGGCACCCCAATGCTCGTTGATCAGTATCCCTTGATATTGCAACATCAACTTACAGATGCAACGTGTAGCCACGAGCGATAAGTTTGGACTCATCTCAATGGCTCTTGCAGATGTGAACTTTGCAGCTCCATCCGAAAATCGAGACTGAATCAATCGGACGACGTCAAAATAAATTTTGTGAGCCTGACTTGCTTGCCCTTACCTCCCTTCCATGCGCTGCTTGGTATCAATCCTTGATATGCACCTATCCAGCCCGTACACCCAACAAAAGAAGAAAAAAAGGAAAAAAAAGAAAAAAGAACAAAAAAGTTGCCAATTGTAAGAGGAGAAAAAAACGATAGACGATTCCGTTGTTGCGGATAGATCGAAAAGCATACAACATGACGCCGTCTCATGCAACTACCTGATTCCATGTTCTGTCTCACAACTTGTTATGCAGTTATCCCTCCAGCTGCTTGTATAGTTCCTGTTATCCCATCATCTGCCTCCACCATCGGCGAGTTCAAATCATCGGAATATCCGTTCACCGATGTCACCGCCCGGTCAGCGACGGCCGGCGATCCCGCTGTCTTTGGCGCCTGCGCTTCCGCCAGCCTCTTTATCTGCTGTTGCATCTCCTCCCGTCTCTTCTCCCTGGCCAGACTCATTTCTCTCTCCAAGTCAACGGCCTTCGCCCTTCTTGCCTCCACCTCATCTCTCTGCACCACCCTCCTCAGCGCCTCAGAAGCCTGTATCAATCCATCAATACTGATCGCATGATTGGTCATCTGATGGTTGATATAGCTGTAGATGTGTGCCGCCGAGTCACAGGCAAGCAGCTGGCGTTCATTCAGCTTGAGCAAAGCCAGTGCAACCTGAAACAGAAACACGCCGCCGTCATGGGTGCACAGTAGTACGTCCCAGACGCGGAAGAGAGCCTCAGCAGACAGGCAGTCTGTGAAAACAGACAGGAACCACTGAAACGTCATGGTCTCGAGGGTAATGCCAAGCTCTTCAAAGTGAGCACTGAGCTTGGGGAGAACCTCAGACACATATTGGCGCAGGACCTGCTGGTCGGCCCTGGAGGCGAGAAGGCTATGGTCAAAGTAGTTGGGCGGCAGGATATTCTCAACAATGGATACCAGGATCCAGAAGGCGTCCTCGGCGCATGGGGTGATAAGAAGGAGATTAGCGACGACGAGGTTCATGCCCTGGCAGTAACCCACATCTGGATTGCGTCGGGCGTACGCAAGTAGTACCTCGTTAAGCTTGTTGACCCCTGGACCTTTGCGGAAGAAGATGTTATCCGTAAGGGTGCGAGTGATGTCGGCCTTGATTTGTGCCACGACTTGCGGATCGTCCTGGTCCCCTGCCTGGTTGACAAGGTCATCGTAATAACCTGGAATACGCAAAGCTTTGGCCCCGCAACATTCGGACCAGATTTTGGACCGGTAGGCGACAGGAATACCACCAAGTATGAGTTGCCTAAACTCATTGGCCTTGGCACGTCCAACCTTGCCTTGAATACCCAAACTTGCAACGCCAATCAGCTCACCATCTCCTAATCTCGTTTCAGGCATTACAGCTTCGGCCCTTTGAAACCTAGCCTCGGCGGCGGCGGCGGCAGCAGCGGCGGCAGCCTCCCCGTCTCGTCTTCTTTCCGCCCGTACTTTACGAAGGAAATCGTTCCATCGCACAGTCTTTTCCCTCTGAAGTGTATCGTGGAGCTGATTGAGGTTCTGCAACAGAAGCCTAACTGGTTCCGCATCCTCTTTCGCCATGCTCGCCGACGACGATTGTTGCTCCCCTTCGTCTGGGGAGGGTTGATCCTCATTCTCCGGCAATGCGATAGCGGCGATGGCAGGAGTAGCTGACGGAACGAATCCACGCTCCTCCGACGTTATCAAGCCAGGCGATTTGGGTGCTTCGGGTACTTCACCACCTTCCATCAGCTCGAAGCCTGGCACAGTAATCAGCGGGGTGTGAGAGAGGAGCTCGGTTGGGAATGTTGCGATCTTGAGGTAATCCTGCCACTTTCTTGGCTTAGAATCATCCCGTTGCTCCTCAGCCGAAGGAGATTCCGGCCCGGCCTCATTCGCTGTGTCTCCTCTGCCACTAGAGCTCTCGTCTAACATGGCCGGGGATAACCTGTTCCGTCCAGTGCTGAGCATCTCGGTACGGCTGGGCTTCTTTGCATGACGCGCCATTCTGGTGGCCTCTCTTTGCCGCTTTTTCCTCCGCTGGTCATAGATGAAGCCAAAGCGGTCAGTGAGAAATTCGGACCCAAGATGGTTGTTGTATATGTGTGTTAGCGTTGGCGGCTGAACCTCGGGTGGAAGAATGGTGTCCATCTCGACCGGACCATAACTCTGCTGGCGGGACACGAGGTCTCTCGAGGGGCTGGACCCCATGGTATCCCATCGGTCCTGCTGCTGGTATCGCTGGGGCACGTCAAGAGGTTTAGTGGGGCCGGTAGCGCGACGCATTGGCATGAACGATCTAGAGCCTGTTTGGGCGCCCGAGACTGTACGGCTTGAGAGGGAGCTTGCGGCGCGGCTCGACGTAGATGGTGTTCTCATGGAGCCCCCAGGTTGCAGTGCGGTGCTGGCACGGCCGCGCATGTCACCGTTACGTCCCGTGGTTGCACCACCCGCGACCAGCCGTAAAGCAAGACTGGCCAGCGACGATTTCCGCGACTCATTCGCAGAGTAGATACTGGATGCCCTACTAGAGCTCCGCACAGAGTCTGTCGAGTCCGTCTCGGGCGGGTTGAACAGACCGTCGGCCAGCGTCGGGCGGCGCTGCTCTGGCCCCAAGCCACTACCTCTCAAGACCGTCTTGGAGGTTTCCGTAGCACTTGCACCGGTCACGCTGCTCGGCCGACCTGAATTCTTTCCCGCCGCCCCTGTACCCCACAGAAAGTCTTTCCAGCCTTTGGTCATACCCTTTGTGGTTCCAGTATCGGCTGCAGGGGGCACCGATATGGTGGTAGCGCGTATAGTTGCGTCATTGAGGCCTGTGCTCGCGCCGACGGCTCTGAGATCGTGGGCCATGGCTTCGTTCATGAGGTCCGATAATCCGCCGCCAGCGGTCCCCCTTCTGGCCAGATTTGTCTGTTTGGCATCCTGCTCGATTGTGCGCAGGCGCGTCTCCAGGTCCAGGGTGGACAGACCGCATTCCAAGATAAGCTTCCGCAAGGCGCGTTCTCGGTCGTCGGCACGTCGCCGCAAAGTGGCGATCTGAGCATCGCGCTCTGCCAAATCCCGCGATATCTGTCGGACGAGGTTGACAGCGCCATGGCGAGCAATCAGGCGCTCAATGTGGGCATTATCAGCGTGGTGCAGGGAGCCAGGGATCTTGTTGGCGGTAAGCGGTACATCTTGGAAGAGTGCGTCGCGTGTGTCTGGCTCGGATTCGGCCGTGATCAAGTTTTCTACAGTAGAGGCGGGCCGTATCCGTTGTGGCTGTGGAGCTTCGGGGGTCTGGCGCGGGTCGCTGTCGTTGCCCACGGAGTCGGCGACGGAAACGGGATCGGACAGCTTGCGCGAGTGACGTGAAGGCGAGATGGAGGGCGAGAGGGAGGAAGGGTTGAGCTCGAAGAAGGACAGCTCCTGGCGAGGCGACTCGGGCGAGAAGGAGGGGAACGATGTAAGCGACTTGTCGGACGGGGCGATGGAAGACGCACAACTCGACGGGTATGATGTCAACCTCTTGCGGGCGCGGGCAGTGCTGGAAGTCCGGGAACGATGGCTCCGGGTGGTTGAGAGGACGGACTGTTGCGACACGGAGCGCTCAAGAGGAGCCACGGCGGCAGCGGAAGCGATGACCGCAGCTGGAGTGGTTGGGGTCGGCGTAGTGTCCTCCATGTCTTCCAGTTGGTCGAACCAGGACAAGGGCAGCGCACCTCATGTCATGGCCTTCCTCGGTCGACTTGATAGTGTGCGCCAGTCGTAAGCGTCTCTAGATTCGAAAGAGGATGGAAGTAGGTAGCTGGTGGTTTCTGGCTGGAGAGGTAGCTGTGATCATGTCCGGCCGAGCTGTCCAAACAACTGAGCTGAACCAGCAATGGATACCTATCTATGGTAGAGGTCAGGGAAGGAGACGACGGGAGGAAGACGACAGCTCTCGAAGGGTCTGGGCTGAGGTGCCTGGCAGAGTGCCGCGAGAGGCCGTGATGTAGTGTATACCAACACGAGCAAAAGAATAATCAAACCAGGGCTGAGAGGGGTGTCGACACGCCCATATCCACTCGGATGGATTGCTGTATTATGGTGTAAGTACCTGGGACACGTGGAGTATACCCCGCCTGAGGCTGGCTGTAGGTAGAGATACCCACGTTCACCCATGAGCCCACGGTCATTCTAACGCTCATGTAGACCTACAGATGTACAGGTACATCCAGTGTCCTGTTTTGAGGATGTGAAGTAGATGCATGGTTTTGACGCCCTTCATTGCGGTCCAACTGTTTGGATTACATTGCACAGTACGTGCCATTTTCCATTTGAGTGCCTTTCCTACATAGAGGTAGTTGTCTGAAATGTCAGTGGGCGTGAGGCGGCCTTCCACTCGGTGGACACACGTGCTTTTTTTGGCACCGGATGTCCAGGGAGAAGCAGAAATGGCGAAAAGACAGGATTGGCAGGGAGAAAGAGTGACACGTAATAATATACTGCACGGCTCTTTTAAGATTTTGAGATACCTCCAGCGAGATGATATTCTTTCCAGATTTACATCCACAACAGCCCCTGTTGTTGGTGTTGTTGTTGTTGTTGTTGTTGTTGTTGTTGTTGTTGTTGTTGTTGTTGTTGTTGTTGTTCCTTTTGATTTGAGCGCTACTGCACTGCAAACTCGCGGGACAATCTGGCAAATAAATTTGTACACCAAAAAAAAAAAAAAAAAAAAAAAGAGAGAGAGAGAGAGAGATCTACAGGCAAAGTCCGATCCCTTTCCTGTTCCTTGATGCTTGGTCTGTTTTCGTTCCTGGCAACTTACAATGTTTGTCTCTTTGGTGCCTTGATTTCCTGCATTAGCACTGTTTCAAGTTCTTTTCGTAAAACTGACATCAATTTTTACGTACATGCAATCCCGTCATGCAGTGTAGGTACAGTAATGTGCCCTGTAAATGCAAGTGGGGCGTGCAGCCGATTTCCTTGCATTTATTGGGTCCTAGCATTTATTGGTATGGGAGCAGGAGGCTTATGACTGCTAGTAACCGCCCTGATAAGGGGTTCTAATAGTCGGTGACAGCCCCGATATGGGTAACAAGGGTACTACAACCCCCTGTAAGCTACCCTCTTAGCTGCAAATTTATATGGCGGGCCGGCTGGTGGCTAGTACTTAGCAGCTAGCAGGCATACCATACTAAAATAATCCGTGCACAGAAATTCCTAGCAATTATTGGGTCTTAGCATTTATTGGGTCTAGCATTTACAGGGCACATTACTGTATGTATCGCTTTTTCGAAGCCAATCAACCATTCTCGCCTGTGCCGAATGCTTTCACTCCATCTAGACCATCCCTGCCGGCCGATTTGCTATTTTGATTTTTGGCCCTTGTTATGATGAGAAAGAATGGAATCAAGGGTGACACATCATATACCAAGATGGGTATCCTTTTGTGCTTTGCTCTGCTGTGCTGAAAAGCCTGCCCCAGCGCCCAGTATCCTGTCCGCCTGTGATATGTTTCCTGTACGCCCTTTCTTTGCCCGTTTACGTACCTATAATCTTGTATCCTGTCTCGGCGTTCAAGGTCGTGCCGCTTTCGTATGTACTACCACCCGATCATGGATGGAGCACTGTCCGCCTTCAGAACAATCCGCCATCTTCCTCGTGCAACGTTGACACGGCCGCAGGGTTGCCTGTTCTTCCCGGCCCTCCCGTCATCGCAACCCCTATCGGTCCAATATCACCACCTCTGGCGTCACGAATGGCCACAGTAGAGGACATGGTAGAAATAGCCATCGGCCTCAGCGGTAGTCTAGGCGGCGGGCTTACTCCGCCCTTCGAGATGAATCTGGAGCCCCTTACGGGTAACAGCGATCCAGCCGCATGACCAAAACTATCAACAATCGCGCTGGTCACTTTCCTTCCGCTCTCGTTTCCGCTTCCATTTGCACCATTTCCACTTCCGTTGCCGTAACCGTATCCGTACCCATTATCGCTCCAGCTCCCCCAGCTGCCACGGTCTTTGCCCGAGTATTCCCCAGTAGCGTGATGGTTGCCAGATTCCCGTTCATCCCTTGGCGATGAGATAGCCCGCACTTGGTTCCACATTGGGCTCACACTGCTGCCGCTCATGGCCAAGGATGATGTATGTGATAGCGGCGAGATGGGCGCCGACGGTACTGATGGAATCGATCGATTCATTCTCGAACCAAAGGGAAAGGATGCTGGTTTCACCAAGTCGGGTATCTCCAGTGGCTCCTCATGCGGTCGCGGAGGGCGTGTTGGTGATGTGGGCGGCGGAGAAGTGGTTCCAGACAAGGAAAATGCTTCGTTCCGTAAAGATGACGGTCCTGTTGTCGAACCTGCCCCGAAACTACTCAGACTTCCCCGGCTTTCGGGCGCACCAAAACCATGCATCTCAAACAAGGCCGGAGGCGGTGGACCAGCAAGACTGCCAGTAGTGCCGTAAACCCTTGGCATGCCCTCGTGCCGTGGTACGAGCTTGTTCGTCGTAGGTGATGTTATCGGTGATGATGGAAACGTGACGTTGGAGTGGCCGCCGCCATGGCTGTGTGCCGGGGTGAGCGGCGTCAGGGGCGGAGATGGCGACTGGTTGTGGCCCGAACGTAGGATCGAAGGGAGCAGCCTGCGGTCCCGGAGGCGGAGAGGGGGTATCAGCGGCCTGGAATCATAGCTGGACGCAATTAGCGGCGTTGGCCGACCTCTAGGAGCAACTCCGTTATCGAACCTCGAACGAGACTGTCCCCGAACGTCATCTAAGCCGCACCGGTGCTTTTTTCGTCTGTGGAGGCACAAAAAGGCCAAAGCAACCATAACGATGAACCCGGTAACCGAACAAACCGAAATTGCGGCCTTGACCCCCATGGATAGCCCGCCTTTGAGTGTTGTAGTCCCATTGTTTACCCCAAAAGACTCGGCAACCGTGGGTCGGGCTGGTGTTGCTGATAGCCATGATGGGTCCGTTATGAGAGAGATATCGCCAGTTGTTGTTGGTGTTGCTGAGGACGTTGATAGGGACAAAGGCGCAGTTGCGCTTCTGAACGTTTTGCTCCAAGAAGTTGAGGGGATGGAAATCGGTTCTTGAACCACCAGTGGGGACGGGGCCGACACGGGGTTGATTTTGAAGCCTGTCTGTGAACAAGGCCCAGCTCCTCCCTTGCTAGTTTGGCAGACGAAGCCCCTGGGTGGTGGTCCTGGATCTAATACCGAGTGAAATCCAATGCTGCCGTCTCACGTCAGCATGGCAAGTACCCAAAAAGCTCATGATGACCAGCTAGAAATGCTCACTCACTCCTGGCAGCTGTTGATGATCAGGTCGACGTTTGCTGGTTGTCCTACTTAGCCCGAGCCACTGACGATTATTTCTCCGGCTACCACTCACGGTCTTGCTGCAGCCCCCCCGTCTGGTTTATCCAGACTCCGCAAAACGTTGTGTCGCACCAATACAACGACCAAAATCGAGAGCTGGGTGTCGTGGTCGTTAGATCCTTGCAAATGTATTTCCAGCCCTCGGGGGTTTCGTGGTCGATCGATACCGTCCTTAGAAACTGGTCCCTGCAAGATTGCAAACACTGTTTCGCTTCTGCTGTTGGTAAATCGCCTCGAATCTCGATCGCTTCCATATAGCACCCGCATTCCTCATCGCCGCTTGAGCCCCCCATAACTTTCGCAGCTACCACCAAGGCCATCTACTTGTGCTCGGGATGTGTACGAAGCCGAGCTAGAAGCCAATGGTAAAGTCAAATACATAGGACTTGGCTTCTTCACCATAACTGCACGGCCAGACACCGATATGATAGGTAGGTTTATCGCGTGAGGATGTGTCCAAAGTGAATAGCGATAAAAGTGCTCGAATGGTACCAGAGGGCCTGCTTAGCGAAAAAAAGCATGTGATCAAGATGTTAATACCTGATCAATGGGAACAACAGCCAGCTCGCTTGCTCAACCGATAAATGACGTTCCTTCAAGTAGAAAATAAGAAAGTGAACTGAAGGTCTTGAGAGTCCCGCGGGAACGGGTGTGAAGTTCTGCGCGAGACTATATATCCGACCCGAACGGCTTCCTCATTAGGGTCATGTGTCCTATAAGAAATAGGAGAGGCCCATTATGCCGAGGAACGGGAACACAACATCGCTCGAGTTACTACGGGAGGGGCTGCTAGACATGTACACTATGTAGAGTGAAGGAAGAGTGGGAGTGCGAGACAAAAGGACAGGTAGAGGAAGGAAGACTGGCGCTGGAACAAATGAAGCATCAGCCGGAAGAGAAGGAGATCCTCATCACCTGGGAAAGGAGGGTTTTCGTGTTACACCGTTACTGCGCGTCTCCGTAGTCCGACGAGAATAGTCTCGTATGAGGACCGGGAAGGGGTTAGGTTGTCTTGCCACTAGAAGTTTGGAGCCTGCAGGCATCCGCTGGGCTTCGCAAAGAGAAGGATTTCCCTGTCGAGTCCTCATCCACGGTTGCACAAGCCTTGTAGTACGCATAAGAGTGCGAGAAAAAGGTTGCCCTCGGGGGCAAAGGGGAGCTTGGTGGTAGTCCGTTATTTCGTTTTCCAGCGCGGTGGAATATGTTGAAACTAATTTTGTCTCTTTCCAAAGCTTGACCAGTAAAGCAAACTGGATAGTCCGTTTAGTCGGACGGCGTACGATCCAAGCCGCCTTGAAAGGCTGCCTGAAGGCTCTTTTTCATAAATTCTTTTTCCTTTTCCTTTATTTTCTTTTATATATATTCCATTATTTTTTACGACGGCTGCACTGGCTGGAAATGTCGGCCTTGATCATGAGCCGGTCACTCCCGCTAGCACAACTAGTCCATCAGCCGAGAGAAGCCATAGGGTTGGTATAACGTCACATATGACACCCCCATTGCATGCATTGCCAGGCAGAGGTACCAAGTCGTGGATCCAAGCTCGGGATAGATAGCCGTTGTAGGAAGGTATTCACAGCACAACAGCCTCATAGAGTCCGCACTTGATGAACCAAGCTGCTCTGCGCTGAACATGGCTGTTACATACGTGTCGTATGGTCCGGCTTTCACGAGATTATGTATAGGGCCAGGTTGCAAGAGGGAAGGGACGGACTGGGGCCCTCGTTTCTGAATACCCAATGGAATCCGCGGTAAGGTGACAGGATATAAGTCCTATACAGCCATAGTGAGACAGCTGTGAGAGAGACTTGTGAGATGGTCATGCCGTCACACCTTTGTGTTGTGTAATTGCGTGTAATCCAACAGGGCTTGGGACGCACTGCGAGACTTTTGGGGTGTTTGCTTTTGGATTCTCTTTCCAGCTGGCTTGGCGTGCTTAAAGCTCTGGTACATCTTGCACGTGGATTGAGGAGTGGTCTCACGGCTGTCTCTGGGCATGCCGGTTCCCTTCCAAGTTTGCACCGCAAATGCCAGCATCGCCGGCGATTAGGCCCCTTGCAATGCACCCATCCCAAATAAGCGCACAAGAACATAGCGAGAAGCCGTACTTGGGCGCGGCAGGGGCATCTGTCTCAGCCATTGGCTGTTGCCAAACAGGTGCCTGAAGGTTATTGCATATGGGATTTCCAATCAAGTCCTTCTCGAAAACCCAGGCCCTAGGTTCGGCGGAGGTAGTTCAAGGGTCGGAGATGGAAGAAGGTCACTATCCGCCAATGACACCATTTGGAGGAGGCTTCGTAAATTCGCCGAGTCCCTATCAGCCTCCGACTGGAAGAACCTTTGCCCGTCAATCCATGATCGTTGGTGACCGTGCTACTGATGCGATAGCCAGTCAGAAATTTGACCAGGAGTAAGAAGACACGAGCAAGGCAAAGCCATACCCCATCACGGCCATGAAACTCCTGAACAGCTGTGAAGGCGCGTCCAGCACGAATACATTGGAAATGATCCGTCAATGGCGTCAGCTCAAGAGCCGAAACTGGTTGTTGGTTCGACCATGCCTCGTGTTCCTGGTCCCCACACGACTGATTCCAGACTGAAGCCCAGCTTTCGCGGCCAGTGGAAATAGTTGTGAGGGCCACGTCTTAAGCAGAGAAAGAGAACTACTGAAGTAGACTCGGGATAGGGCTTTCGTATCTGTGCCTCTCCTCTGTTTTCACTAAATGTTCGGCTCGAAAACGGTCAGCCAGTCGGGGCGTGGAGAGATGCTGTGCTCGGGTGTTGATCGATGCAGTGTGTGACCACGATGCTCAGCCGGCCTCGGCATCGTGGTCGAAACGAACTTTGTTGTTCAGCTTCGATACGTGGCGACGTCTCAAAAAGTCCTCGAGTGCGGCAGTTACCAATTTCCTAGACCATGGCCGTAGTAACAATGCATAGATTGATGAGGTGGACTCATCATGGCATGGTTGCTGGAGGCCATCGATTCCTTCACCGCGGAAGTAGCGGAAGGGGCATGACAGTCCGTCAGCCATGACAAAGAACTTGAAACCGAAGTTGAACTGCAATGTTGCGGACTAGACGTGATAAAAGCCCAGACAGTGGACTATGATGTTCTGATGTGCCATTGTAAAGAGAAGGGTCTAAAGGGAAAGGGAACAGACGCGACGGGAAGTGTCATCCGTTCTTGGACATTCGTGGACGGTCGAGCCAATACAAAACTGGCGGCAAGTTGAACCTCGGCCCGCCCCCGGATTTGTTAGTGCTAGGCTTGGTTTCCCCGCGCTCAACCGGTAATGTCTCATCAGTGAGATGATAGATGTAGACACAGCGTTTGTGTCCCAAAATTGATTTTGTTCCCAACTCTTAAATGCGATCTTCTGTCATGTCTTGAAGATAATACTAACCCACGAACCGAAAGAAAAAGAAGCGCACTTGAACTTTGAGGATTCGAAGAAAACCCACCATGTCCGAGTCCGCCAAGCAACGTGTCCAGGCGATTGGTAACCATCTTGCCGCCAATAAAGTCATTCCATCCGTTGTCAAGATGGCTGGCGACTCGAATGGACCTAGAGTAACTGGGAAAGTGGTTATCATCACCGGTAAGTCGACTTGTACTTGCTGTAGGCCGCTTGCTTTTCGTGGGTTGAGGCTAACGGTTCTGAAGGGGCAAACTCCATTCTCGGTATTGGCCGAGCATCTGCTCATCAGTTTGCCCAGAACGGGGCAAAGGCAGTCTACATCTGCGACTACGATGATTCCAACCTTGAAGAACACAAGCGCGAGATCGAAACACTATATTCCAGCGCGAATGTACACACGCGACAGTTTGATGCTGCTGATGAAAAAGCCATCAGCGAGGTTGTCAAGGATGCTCTGGACCGGTACGGACGGCTCGATGTCTTCTTTGCCAATGCCGGAATTATTGGCCCTCATACCAAGTTCTCCGACGTTGAAGCTGATGAGTTTATGGAGACGATGCGGGTCAACGCGCTCGGGTAGGACGCCTGGTTTTCTTTCCGTCCGAACTGCCCTTTCTTGTCTGGTTGATCTCGTAGAGCATCGCTAACCATGCATACCATCAAAGCCCCTTTCTTGCCGCCAAATACGCGGCGCCGGCCATGCAAAAAACATCGGCGGAGAAGCCAAAGTCCTCCGGGAGCATTATCATGACAGCTTCGGTAGCCGGTTTGCGGTCCAACGCCGGTGGGACGCCATACTCTGCTTCAAAGGCAGCCGTCGTCAGCATGGCACAAACCATTGCCTACCAACTGGTCGGGACCAACATCCGGGTCAACGCTCTCTGCCCCGGCCTGATCGAGACGGCTATGACGGCGCCCGTGTTCGACAGCGCACGAGCTCGGGGTACCGAAGGTAAGATTGGACAGCTCAACCCTCTCAGGAGGGGTGGACATGCTGACGAGATTGCGCGTGTGGCCTTGTTCCTGGGAAGTGATGAGAGTAGCTATGTCAACGCGCAAGCATGGGCGGTGGATGGTGGTCTAAGTTCTGGCCATCCTTATGTGCCTGGCAAGATTGCGTAGACCACTGGGACGATATCATAACTAGAGTGAGTGTGACCTTGACCGAGAAGGAATCACATACTTTTGCAGTATTTGGCATCCCTTGCTTGGGCAAACAGTGTGATGATGATGTGTTTTCGACAAGGGCGTACTGTAGTCGTTGCCCGAAACCGCGGGCGGTCAAAAAGGGGGCAACTTCTCCCTCCAGGTTGTAAAGTCTTCACCGACTGGGTATAGCGGCATTGCCATGTACGTGCTGATGTAGAATAGTGTGTACCATCCTTTTGGAGTCTTAGAGCATCTCCAGGCCAAACCCTCCCGCCTTTAGCTGCATGGCTACCATGGACAGGTAAAGCTGACTTCGTTGCCCGGGCACCTCTACTCTAGACCGGAAAGAGACCTCTCGCGAGTACACACAAACAGCAGGCACATGGCCCATGAAATTGAGAGAGAATCAAGTGGGAAATACAATTCAGCTCATTGAAATTGTCCCACAACAAGACTGACCAGGTTCAGTGTTTTAAGAGCATGGGCGCCGAGGCAAGGAGACGTGGGGGGAAAGTCTCAGGAGAAGGGAAGTTGGGGAAACGCGGGTATGTAGCTGGGGACTACAGTTCATAACAGCTGACGATACAGTGATGCTGTACAGTAGGATGGCCCTCCTCTGACCAATCGCGAAACCTCCACTGTCAGGATCTACGGTTCCCATAGTAGCAGCGGTGTGGGGTGCATCCCGTTGCATCTGTGGAAATGCCTTTCATCTGCTGGGATTGTCCGATGGCCTCTTGTCTTGACGAAGTCTCTTTCATCAAAGTTGATTCGACATTTGATGTCTTGACCTCACAACGTCAGGTTGGCCACGAGAAATCAATATTTTCCAAAAAGCCCGGGAATCTGTCAGAGACTCTGCTTTGGTGTTATCGGTGGCTTCCCAATTCAATGGCAATCTCGTTTCCATGTCCCAGGTGTTCAACTCGGCAGGCAGATTGACAGCGCCCAAGGTAGCGATCGGCATCTTCGACTGTCCACCCGCGGAAGTTGGTCCTGACCTAGTGTATGTATTGAAATTTCCTAGCGAGGCGCCCTGGTCGCTTCTGACCCAGGCTACTACCCTTGGGCCAGAAACCGCGAACGTGTCGAACTCTTTGAGGAACTGAATGGTATCAGTCATGCTACCACTCATTACCAGGCAAGGTATGTAGGTAAGTACTTCCGCCTCACTGTCTCGTAAAAAAAAAATGGGACCCGGGCGTGTCAGATGTGACTATCTTGTAGAGGGAGGGTAGCATTTGATGTGTGCCATTTGTGCCATCACCCTCGAGTAGCAATTGAGTATGGTACGGCGTTTGATGTTAACTTACGATCTTACATAGTGCTCCCAATTTGAGGTAAGAAACAGTACCACCCGCGCTCGAACTATGCGGCTAGGTGGACTGTTCAAGGCGAGCAGAGGAGACGATGACGTTATAGCCTGCGTGCTCACGCGACCTGACTGCACTGCAGTCTTTTTTTCTTCTTCTTTTTTTTCTGCTTCTTGCCAAGTACACTCAATTTAAGCGTCTTCCAACTTTGAAAGCCAACTTGGGCCTGGCCGTTCAAGCCCGTGCTCAAAAGAATGTGACCGATATTCGAATCATTAGGTTTGGCGGCACTATGCGCGTGTGTAGCCTTTTCCTCTTTCTCTGGGGCTTTCATCGCACCTTGCACTTGATCTTGTTGAACACACACGTTTTACTTCGCAGCACTTCCTAGCACATCCATGGCCCAAGCAAACAAGCTGATGACCAGAAGAGCAGAAAGTATGAGTGATTTCTTGTGAATGGAAAGAATGTGCATACAGTAATGCACTCGGATGCTGTAAGCGGTAATATTATTATTACATATCTGCTGTACAAATCGAATGTTCTGGGACCGCTTTGTCCGTTGCTCGGTCTCCGCTCGCATGTCCACGTCTGCCTGGGAGGTTAAGTTGGGCTTGGATCGCGCTGCAAAAGGATCACAGTATTCGTTCACCCTCCAACCTCTAGCCTGTCCGCGAGTTGGAAGCAGTGGAAGAAGTAGATATTTGGCATTCCGGGCAAGTGGTATTTCCAGTAGTGTATATATGATGCTACATTATTCCTGAGGATTTTGTGGCTGTTTATATCTGTGATGTCAGGCGTAGGCCGATCCCGATTCAGGCACTCCTCGCACTGGACGGGACTGAGTCTTTTGATGACAAAGTCCACGGTATAGAAGAAGCGCCCGACTCCCTTTCTTTGCCTTTCAGACAACCACGATGACTGAGATGAAGAGACCGAATCTTTGTGACTTTCGGTTCAGGGGCAGTGATGGGGTGCCAACCCGCCTTCTCTCATCCTGGTTCGTACCTTAGGTACCTCTACGCCTACCAGCTCCTGTACGTACACCATTGGGTCTTGAGCGGCTGAGTGCGATGGGCAGACGTCCGACGTTGACAGGTGCAAGTTGGAGATTCACACTTCGACTCGCTCTCACAAAGCAAGCCAGGTTTCTGCCGACCGAAGCAGGGCCGGTCAGGGATCCAGCCGTGCCAGCTATACACGTGTAAAATGTTCCAAATGCAGGGTCTGCCAGAGAGGGCGACTGTATTTTCAGTGGCGAGCGAGTCTGATTGACTCATTGATTGGCCTACCGGGCGTCATACCGGGTCTTGGCTGCTCAGACGGGTCCGGTGTTCTACAAAATAATGGGTAGTACAGCTGCATACCACAGTACATCAGGTAGGAAACGGCATGTCCACACCTCTGGTGTAGTGCAGAGGTACGTACCATTACACAGAGGTAGTAGCGTGGTGTAGAGTCAAGTACCAGTGCCACTAACGACCAATGGCCTAGACCCCACACAGTTTTACGCTAGTGCGCCATGAATCCCCCCCATCACACTGCGGCAACCGTAGGCGAAGCCCGCAATTAAGTCTTACTTGACAATGAATTCCATCTTTTTAATCCGGCCATTCCCTCACATGGAAGACGGCCTTTTCCTTCAACACTACCCACTCGTCTGGACGACATTTGATGCGCTCAACTTAACACCCGCCCCTTCAGGCACCACCGCCATCACAGTAACGATAACGCTACCCTCGATCTTGAAACTGGTTTTCACACCAGAGTTATCCCGATCTTTGCATCTCCCCATTGCACTCTTCGGCGCTCGCTCACGTGTCCCGCCCACAACCCTCGACGAGACCTCTTTTACCGTCCTCGATCAGAGGCAACTGAAGTATCACCGGACCTCGAGTTTCCCGTTCGCATACCCTCGCAGGAAAGCCCGACGAGCTCGGGCTTTCCCAGGTACATATCTATCCACGACACACCCCCACACAACCCCGGAACAATTTGGGAAATCAGCAAAAATGGGCAGCTCATAGTCTCCAGAAAGAAGTGCCCTGGGACGCTTATGATTCCACTGCTCGTCAACACAGAAACCAGACCGTCCGTACCACTTCCACTACCAACAGTAGCCCATTGCATCTTCTCCATTTCCACCTCCAACAGTCTACCAGACCGAAAACGTTCCAGTCAACGACAAGCCGCCGTGCTGATCAATTCGAACCGCCAACCCATCTGCTACCCCTGCACTACTTCTTCGGTCAAACCAGCTTCCCCTGTCTCTCTTTGAGCATCTCCTTAGCTCTGGCCGGTTCTGGCTCTCTGATGATTCACTCTGACTACTCAACGCTTGCTTCGTCGACTAAGAGCGTCCTGTAACCCAACCGCTGCAATCGAAATCCATGACAGCCCTGGCTACTATGGCCGGGGGCAACAAGACCGTCATGAAGAGGAACACGAGAGCATTTGTTGGTGACAACACAGAGCAGGCCCTGGTTGGGCCTCAATCAGAAAGGTTGGCGAAGGAAGATGAGAGGGCGGACGTGGGACCGCACAGGAAGGGCTCCATAGGCACATTCACAAGTCAAAGCAGCCGCTCAAGCCGCCAAACGAGCCTCGAGTGCTCACCCATGACTGCCGCGACGTCATTGGATACGGATCTGTCAGATTTGAGCAAAGATGAACACTTTAGCCTCCCTGACGCACTTCGCGATATCGAGCCTCCACATGCCGTTCAAGCCTACAGTCACAGTGCCAAAGCTCCCTTGCGGCCAAATCCTACTTTACCGCTCATTCCCTCAGAGGGGCGCCCCAAGAACTTTGGTGTCGTTGTTCCTGGGGTATATCGAAGTAGCTTTCCACAGACCGAGGACTACCCATTCATCGAGGGCCTCAAGTTGAAGACCATGGTGTTGGTTACCCGGATTAAAACCTTTTTTTCTCTTCCAACATACTGACATGGGTTTTCCAGCACATTGGTCCAGAAGGACTTCCCCGAGGGCTATGATGCTTTTCTCAGCAGAAATGGAATCAAGCATCATGTCTTTGACATGAAGGGCACCAAGAAAGAAGCCATTCCCATTACGACGATGAAGGCCATCCTCCGGCTGGTACTCAACCAAGCCAATCACCCGCTCTTGATTCACTGTAACCACGGAAAGGTAAACCTCCCCTCGACGATATGTTGACTTGGTGGAACGGTCAGGCTGATTTCGGTTGTGCAGCATCGCACCGGCTGCGTGGTTGGGATCGTTCGTAAGACTCTTGGCTGGGACGTGAGCAATATACTCGAGGAATACCGGAGTTATGCCGAGCCCAAAGTCCGCGAGACCGATGTCAACTACATCCAAGGATTCGAAATGGCTCAAATTTCGAACCTCTTCTCCAAGGACATGAACTTGCGGCAATGGCGATTTGGGTCGCCCAAGTTCGCCAACTCCACGGTCGTGGCCATGATTTTCTTGTTATTCTGGTACCATTTTTCCGGAATTCCGCTGCCAACTTCGGACGCGGTGGATCGCAAGCTGCTCACCCAGTAGCTTTTCGGCGTGGCCTTCGGATGCCCGTCAGTTCTTTTTGGTCATGTTATCACACTTTTTAGCCCCCACAACCCCACAGGCACCATACAGACTCAGCGTAGCTTGATCAGGCGGCGAGGAGAATTCCATTGTCAAAGGAGAATGAAGTGGAAGGATTTTGGTTAAATCGGAATACGGGATCCAGCGAATATCCTGCTTCGGAGTGGGTACAGTGGCGTGGCGTTGCAATGGGATCTTTCGGTACGGGAAATCTGGTGGGCTGGCAGACGGCTTTTATTCAGGGGCATCACATGGCCACGAACCCAGATCCGGAGCTGACAGGCCTGCAATCGGTTTTACTTGCATGGAGAAGATAAACTAGGATGGAGAGCGGAGACTATCAAGTGCTGAGTGTCTCCTGGCGTTCGTGTGGTTTCTTGGTTTACATGAGGGCGGTTCCCTATGTTCATATGTCCAAATCATGTTTATGGTTTCTGCATTTAGTTATACGCTATTCAAGCTCACAGCTCCCAGAAAAGCGAGCAGGAAATCCAGCACCCATTTGGCGTCTGCTGCTCAAAGCGAACACATTCAGAAGTGTGACTTTGCGCATTCCCGAGTATTCCCTGTCTGCCATTTCTCACCCCTTGACGCCGCCAAAATGTTTGCTCTTTATGGTACAGTATGTTACAGACACACAGCTTCTCCCGCCAAAAGAAAACCTGCCAAACAACAAACCCGTCTAGTCCCTCACCTTCCAGCAACTTCTGGATGTGCAGTTACTTGTAGTGGAATATCCTCGGGCTGTCCACTATAGCACGTCAGAGCACACTCGCTCCTGTATGGCAGACCAATTCTCCTCAACTACAGCGAACGCACTGCTCCACACCATCTCAGCCGTCCCTAAGCCTGGGGGTTCTTCATTCGCTATCGCTGTACATGCCCCACTTGTCCATCTCCTTCCTCTCCTGCTCCTCGGCCTTGCGATCACCCGTCACATACGTGTATGTGCCCGCAATCACGTTGGCTGCGCTCAGACCCATGGCCGTAGCCCGGACCGCGCCGCGAGCCGAAAACTTGTTCTTGAGCGCGGCGGGACGGCGGCGGGCAGCGAGGAGGAAGTAGATGCCGCTCCAGGCGGCCGTCATGCCGGCGCTGTCGATCTTGAAGCCAGCTACGCTGAGGTAGCTCGAGAACATGAGGAGAGGAGTGAGGAGCATGGGCATGGCCTGGAAGGGGCGCCAGTGGAGGGCAGTGATGAGGGTTGCTAGGCCCATGCCGGGGAGGGAAGAGGCTATGTTTGAGCGTTAGTATCAAGAGCATGTAAGTGAGGATTGTGAGTAGAGTGAGTAAGTAGTTGAGATACTCACATCCCCAAGCCCTGACGCGGTCCACGATGGATGCCTTGGTTTCTTCGGTGGACATGATGGGTGTGAAAGTATAGGATTTGATTGTTGATTTTTCTTACTATCTCAACACCAGCTTTTTCTGTTTACCAAATTTTAGCTATCTGCAGTTTGAATCGGCTCATGTCAAATCGAAGGCAGTTGTGACAACACTGGTGGATGACTAAGCAAACTGGACCCATTCCTTGTTGCCGCTCCCGTCCAGTTCACGATTGCGATCGGTCGTTCTCCATTTTTCGGCCAAAACGCACGGGGGCACGAGCCATGTGTGAAGGGAATGGAAAGAAACGTAAGCGTGGAATTTACCTACAAGCTGTCCACAGTCTGCGGGATAGTCAGCGAGTTAAGTACAACCCGTTCAATTTTTATGTTCCTGTAGTCGCTACGCGCGTCTATGCAAGCGAATCTACTTGTGAGCATAAGAATCATGTCCAGAAGCATAGAGGTATTGAATGTAGTTGTTCTGGTTTCATAGGGTAGCGATTGTTATAATAACACTCTGTTGTATATGAGGTACTCTCTCACTCTGACTTCCACTGATCAAGACTCGCCAATCGATACGTACCTACACTTTTTTGGACAAGAACCACACCACCGTCCGCTGCAGCGGTTCCCGAAAAAAAGCCACGCTTTCGACTACCCTGTCCGCTCTCCTTGTCAATGCATTTACACAATCGCGAATGACCTGAACCCGGCATCTAGCATCAGAACGCTGTAGAAGTCGTTTTCCCACCTGGGTCTGTGATCCCAATAACAACCAATTATTTGTCGCCGACCTATCGCTCGGCTTTTCATTGTCCAGCTTCAACAAACCTCGACGTTGTCACGGACACCGCCTTTGCCTCGTTGCGTCACTAGTACATTCCCCGGCCCTCCTCAACGAAAGGTCGGCCAACCAGACGATCCGACGCTCAGATTTTACAAAATCACGTTTCGCCTTGATTCTCGAAGATAGTCATCAACAACACCCTTTTCAAATATCTGGGACTAGAACCATAAGACAAAGGGCACATCATGCCCGCAGCCACAACCTCTGGGGCTGATGCCTCAAACGGGTCGTCCGCCCACAACCGCCAGCACAACCAGGGCAACCAAGAGCGCAAATACACAGCCGAGCAGAAGGCTGCGGTCCTGCGAATCCGGAAATGCGAGCCCACCGCCTTTTACGAGATTCTCGAGGTGTCCAAGACATGTACCGACGCCGAGATCAAGAAGGCCTACCGCAAGCAGTCCCTGCTGACACATCCGGACAAGAACGGCCACGAGCACGCCGACGAGGCATTCAAAATGGTGTCGCGCGCCTTCAGCGTCCTGGGTGACAAGGAGAAACGCGACAAGTACGACCGCTTCGGAACCGACCCGGACAGTAGGTTTGCCAGCGCGCAGCAGCAGAATCCGTTTGCCGGCTTTGCGAATAGGGGAGCAGCAAGGGCGCATCAGGGAGGCATGTGGGGAGACGACGCAGACATCAGCCCCGAGGAAATGTTTGCGAGGTTCTTTGGCGGGGGAGGTTTTGGTGGGGGTCCCTTCGGAGCCGGTTTGTGCACCACCTTCAGTCAACAGGACATGGGTTTTCGGTATACTGACATAATTTTCTCGCTGCAGCTTTCGACGGAGGGCCGCAGTTCGTCTTCAACTTTGGCGGCGGGCCTGGTATTCGGGTGCATCAATTCGGCGGAGGAAGGCCCAGGACTCGTCCTCGGCAGGCTGGACAGCAACAAGAAGGAGGCAATAGTATGTGGAGCACATTGATGAGCCTCTTGCCCATCATTATTCTCTTCATCTTCCCCATGATCTCTTCGCTGTTCTCCGGAGCAACAACGGGGCCATCAACACCGGCCATGGCCTTTGAGCAGGCCATACCCCCTTACACAATGGCACGTAAAATGCCCAACGTCAAGGTCAATTACTATGTCAACCCAAACGACGTCAGGCATTATTCTGCCTCGAAGCTGTACAACTTGGATCAGAAGGCCGAGCACATCTTTGTGCAGCAGCTACAGCAACAGTGCGAACGAGAGATGACAGAGAAGCGGCGGTTGATCGAGGAGGCCCAGGGGTGGTTCCGTACAGATCAAGAGAAGTTGGCCAAGGCCGAAAGGTTCGAGACACCAGCTTGTATCAGGATCAAGAACCTTTATTCTCCAGGATCGAAATACTAAAACGGAGGTTGATATCTGTTTTGCGGAGAGGGTTGTCGTGATGTGGAGGCTGTTTTGTGTTGGGCCCAAACGCTGGGCAGTTTTAGTGAGCTGTACGCATAGCATGCAGTTCCGTGGGAGGCCTTCTTGAGTAGACCAAGAGACGGAGCGGAAGTCGAAACGTATACTTGATGCGTACTGGCTAACGTCTTATGAGAAATGATGTTTGTGTAATCCTAATATAAATATCTGTGTATTTACATGGGGTTCCTGGTCACTTCTTCTTCGTGACATTCTTACCTTTGAATCGGGAAATGGCCACAAGTGTTAAGGTTGCTGAGGGCCGTGGGCCATGGCCTAGAATGAGCCATTATACCTACTAGCAATTCTCTTCGTGGGATGTCATCGATTACCTCTACGCCCAATACAATGGGACTAAAGTACCTACCTCTAGGTCACAACTCGGTGGCAGGCGGAAATAGTACACTATGTAGACATTCCGGGTTCCTGTGTCAAGTGGAATTGTTAATATCACCCACAGCATGGATGCCTGCTGGATCGCCTAGGCAGGAGAGGAGATGACGAGGCCTTACGGGGAGGGCAAGGGAAGTGCCCTGGTGAGGGGTAGCTGCTGCTGCTGCCGCCAGCCTGCAATGAACCATGAGCGTGGGAGGCCGTCAGAGTGGCCAACAACGTAATTCGCCTATGCAAGCTGCTTCCCCTCGGATCCTCATGCCCGGCCAAGCATTACACCAGCCTCCGACTGTCCAGCCTTCTATTAGGTTGTAGGTATAACATGACGTTGCCAACAGCAATCTACCGTTTCTTATCGATCACCATTTTATACTATCCTTTCAGTTGGTGGCAGCAGTCAGCCCGTCTTGCCGTCTACAACTGAGGTCAACGCCTTTCCACTTGCGGCCAACGGGGCACCGAGGTCGCCACGATTAGATAAAGCCCCCGTCCCACTACGACGGGAACCTTGAGGGGCCCAAGTCCGCAGCTGCAGCTACGCACTGCCACCACTTTTCCAGCTGCTGGGATTCCGTCTCGTCTCTTTCTCCATTTCACATTGGCGATTTCAGCATTGGAAACCATCTCGAACTACACACAATCGGTCAATCGTGACTTCTAACTTACATCTCCCATCACCGAACTGGCTACATTCAGGGACGCACAACTGCTGACCCCAAACTCTTCCTGCACTTGTAAGTTAGTACTTAACCTACTTGAAGAAACTCAACCAAGTATCCTCCAATCGCTTCTGCGCTGGATCCTAGTGAATCTAGTGCACAATCCACTGACGATACCCATGTTAGGCCCCAGTCTCGTGCTAGAACCGCAGCGCTATCCCAGCAACATCCTAGAACCTGGGTACGTCGCGCGCCAATGACGCAACTGTTCACTTAACCTCGAACCGCTCATGACCTCGACCTTCACAACGAAAGGCTACCTTTTGTCGGCTGAACCGCATCTCCACGGCTGGGACCGTTTGGGCCTTAGGATCTCTCTGGAAGGCCGGAAAGAAAATACACAGTATACACCTGTTCTGGAGCCCGTGGTTCTTAAAGTCCTGAACAGGATCCTGTTCCATCACAGTTTAGAGGCGCTGGCCGGCTTCCTCGGGCTTACATTCCACCGACCGCCAACACTTTTCCGATAACTGGCTTTTCCTTCGACACTCGTTACCAACCCTTGGAGACATGGTGACCAGAAAGCCTCTTCCAGCCAATGCTGCCCTGGATCCGGCAGTTCGACGAGAACCAACCTGGTCTTCCGCCATGGACTCGGAAGCAAACATGGCGTGGAACGACGAGCGCGAAGGACAGCAACGCCGGGGCGGATCAGACCGACAAGTCGATGATGTGCCACGATCTCTAAGGCCCGGTCCAAGTTACTCTAACTTATCAGGCGTCGAGAACGAAAATGTATGGGCCGATAACAGCGCGGAGGGGAACAAGTCTGCGACTGCTGGACAGCCAGGTGACATTAGCCGGGTGCCGACCGTTCTGAGGCCCGGCGGCAGCGCCCAACTGTCAAGGTCCGGTGCGATGGAGTCAGATGAGGTAGGAGGCGATACTAACCGGATACCGACCGTACTGCGACCAGGAGGTTCCCACGGACAACCAGAAACTAATCCGTTCAAGAAAAAGATGTCAGGAAGTACGCCAGGCAACGAGGGAGAAGACACCTTCCTGACACAACCAACATATTTGCCACCCGTATCACCTGTACTATTCCCGTCCCTTTCGAACTTGAGCTTGTCTGAAGGTGCCGAACAGAGCAAAAACCCCTGGCAACCGTCACTGAAGCAAAGAGGAGACAGCCCTGCACCACTGTTGATATCGGATCTGCAACAAAATCACACCGGAGGAGACCCTTGGAAGTCTACAAACGCATCTCAGCAGCCCACCCCTGGACCATCGTCGAGCCCGCCAACATTGCTCTCATTGCCTTCTCAGGAGGATTCTGCAAAGTGGGGTGAGCAACGTTCAAGCAAGGCTCCTGAACTTCTACCATCAATTACAGGAGAGGAGACACTTGATGGTTCCCACGCATGGGATGACTTGAGTGATATGTCCAGAGACAAGGCACCGGGAAACCCGCCTGCAACCACGGGAGACGGTTGGAACTTGATCGATATTGACATACGTCCCAGCCCCCCATCACGAAAGAGCACTTGGGAGGATTTCGCCGACGACGACGAAGAGAGCTCTCCTAAGGCCGTCACCGAGAATACCATTACGGCACCTGCCGCGCCTCCTACACCACCGCCTGCCGTATCTTCTACTGCAACATCTACCGTGCCCCCTAGTTCAACGCCTGCCGTCGAACAAGCTCCCCCACTTCTTGAAAGAAGAATGGAACAGAATGCACCCGATTTACCACCTAGGTTTACCGAAGCGCAGGCCAGTTTATCTGCGCAACGAATACGCCAGGTTGACAGATCCGAGACATATCAAATCAAGAGGATTAACTGGTATGACACCACAGCGGAGATCAACCCGAGGACGTCGCCGATTCTGATTCAGAACGCCAATGGGCCGTGCCCGCTTCTTGCGCTCGTCAACGCGCTTATCCTCTCTACTCCGGCACATCAGGACAATACGGTCCTAGTGGAGACCCTTCGATCACGAGAGCAAATCAGTCTTGGGCTGCTTATTGATGCCGTCTTCGACGAACTAATGTCTGAGCGACGATTGGGTGAAGATGCCGTTTTACCGGACGTTACCGAACTCTACAACTTTCTGCAAAGCCTTCATACCGGAATGAATGTTAACCCACGCTTTGTCCCGACCAAGCAAATGGAAGACGCCTTCAATCGTACATCACTCACCAATTTGCCCCCGACGGAGAGAGGTGGTCAGATTCCGGGGACGTTCGAGAGTACGAGGGAGATGAGACTGTATTCCACTTTCTCCATTCCCTTGATCCATGGTTGGCTTCCGCCTAGAAGTGATCCGGTGTATGGTGCATTTGAGAGACAAGCGGCGTCGTATGATGACGCCCAGAACCTTCTGTTCCGTGAAGAGGAGCTGGAGGCCAAGCTGAGCAGCCGCGATGAACAGGGCTTGACCGAAGATGAACAGCAAATGCTCCAGGATATTTTCGCCATCAAAGATTTCTGGAAAATCTCAGCCACACAACTTACCACATGGGGACTTGATGTCATTAGAAGTTCGATGAAGCCAGCGTCTGTAGCGATTCTCTTCCGGAACGACCATTTCGCCACTTTGTACAAGCACCCGCAGAATGGAAAACTCATGACACTTGTCACGGATGCAGGATACGCCACCCATGACGAGATAGTATGGGAATCGCTGGTGGACGTGAACGGCGAACGAGCCGAGTTCTTTTCTGGTGACTTCCGCCCTGTCGGCGGCGCTTCGCATGACCTCAGCACCAGTCCTGCAGGCCCGCGGGGATCAAGCTACACCGACAGCTCATCATATGGTACCTCGGGAGAGGGCAGTGGATGGACGACGGTTCAAGGCCGTAGGGGACGGACACAGAGTGGGAATATGCACGAAGATGCCCCAACATCTCCATCACATGAACAGGAGGACCACGACCTTGCTCTAGCACTGCAACTGCAGGAAGAGGAGGAGCAGCGTCATAGAGAAGAACAAGAACGTAGACGCCGGGAACGAGAACTCTCGGAGCAGTTTATCGAGCAGCAAGCACGCACTTCGAACGGACAGCAAAACCAGGGCCGCGGTCAAGGACATGCCCGTGGTGGTAGTCTTGGTGGAGGTGGTAGCTTACGGGCCGGCAGAGGTGGCAGTACCGCAAGTCTTGGGAGCCAAAGAGCGGCGGCCTTGGCATCACGCAGCTCACTATCGGTTTCTTCCACGGCTCCGTCTACGCGCCGAAGCACCAGCTCGATGAACGTCTCTGTGAACAATGGTGGAGGAGCTAGTCCGACAGCGAACAGAACCGGGGTTAGAACCTCGGGTCAAACAGTGAGATCGCTCATTCCGCCTCTCCCTGGTCAACAGTCACAGCCCTTCACAAACCGCCCAGCGGATGAAGGAGTAGAAGACGCTCCGCCTAGCTATGATGTCGCTGCTACACAGGCACCATACATTCCTCCCGAAGGGCATCCCAGTCATCCCACGAGCAGCCCTACAGTGGCTCGCGCTACTATTGCCAACGGTGCGGGAGCCGCATCTCCTCCTCGCTCTGGAGCGGCAAGTCCTCCGCAAAGGTTGGGTTCAACCGCGGGTTCAATGGGATTGAGAAACCCGTCCCAGGCTCCGGGACATTCATCAATCAGCCAGGCTGGTAGGCCTCAATCGGGATTTCCTGATAACGCGAACATGGCCGCCCCAAGGCCGATGAGGCAGGGGATTCCGCCTGCCGCGGTTGCAGTTCCTGGGATTCCGAGAGAAGATAAATGCGTTATGATGTGACTGGTGGTTAACGTGTGGATTCTCTGTCAAGCATTTATGCTGGAGTGGTTTGGTGTTAAAGTTCGGGCGCACGGATGTATGTCGTGTCTTGTTGGAGTGTCATCATGAAGAACGAATAATACCAAAGAGGGAGGATTGGACTTGGAAAATGGTTCCTAGTATTGCTTATAAGGGCGGTTTTTTTGCGTAGTATAAGTCTGATGGCTAGGTAGATACTACCTGAAAGAGAGCGGTTACAAATGTGGTCGAACTGGGTGGTAGCAACCGCAACGATGCTGTCCAGTGTTGTTTGTTTGAAATTCACAACTCTACATGACGGGTGAATCCTGTGGCAGCGCCCGGGGGGTTGGAGGGGAATAGGCCAAACGTTAGTTATGTACCAGGTTAGATTGCCCCTGTTGGGATGATCGAACGCAGAGTGCTTCCCTTCCAGTAAATGGTAATCCAAGCACGGTGGCAGCGAATATGAACATCTCTTACAAACTGTCCGTGGTCTGTTTCTCACTTGTCCTTCTCTTGCCTTGCACTTTCTCTCTCTCGTTCTTTCCCTATGACCATACCTACTTGGGAATGTGGGGAATTAGCACCCCAATCTAGTGCAACAAGACGGTTCTGAACTAAACCATCACCCGTACGCCGATCACCTCAATCACTGTGAAGTTGCCGTTCGCCTTCGACTTGACCAACTCACTAGATAAATTGTTGGCCCAGCGCCAACGGATTGGGAAAAAAAATGACGACTAGTACCGTAGGTCTAATCGACAACTGGTATCCTCCCACAAGGGAGACTTACGATCTCATTCTCTCCTTATGGAAGTGGTTCCCCGTGGTATGTGTCGCGGCCCTACGAGAATGCTCTACATCACAACTGACACAACTGACCAGGCCGCCTCCCTTCAATGGGGTGTCTCCTGGTACGGGATGGGCAAGACATCAGTCACCAGCCGCCTTAACCTGCCCGGCCGAATTGGCTGGCTCACCATGGAAGCACCTGGCTTCATGACCCTGGTGTACATGATGCGCACCCTCCCCGCCCAACATGGCTTCACCCTCAGCGACCTGCCCTGGCAAAACAAGGTGCTCGCCGGCCTCTTTGTATTTCACTATTCCTATCGCGCCCTCGCCTTTCCTTTTCTGCAGCCCAGCATGGCGCCCATACACATCGCCATCTGGCTCTCTGCGCTTAGCTTCCAGATTATCAACGGAACGTTGATCGGTGCTTGGCTCGCCGCCTACGGTCCCACGACTCACGCGGCGTGGGACAGGCAGCTCTTTAGCTCGTTCCCCACGCTGCAATTTACTTGCGGAATTGCGCTGTTTTACGTCGGTCTGATGGCGAACTTCTACCACGATGACGAGCTGCGGGAGATCAGACGCCGGGAAAACCGCAGGCAGGAAAGGCTGGCAAAGCAGAATGGGCAAAAGGGACAGCCGGGGAAGAAGGTAGAGAAGCACTACGAGATCCCCAAGGCGGGACTGTTCAAGGTGATGCTTTACCCGCACTACTTTTGCGAATGGGTTGAGTGGCTTGGGTTTTACATGGCGGCTGGCTGGGGATGTCTGCCGGCGAGGTGTTTTTTGCTGAACGAGGTGGCGGCCATGTTGCCGAGGGCGGTGAAGGGGAAGCAGTGGTATATGGAGAAGTTTGGGGAGGAGAAGATTAGCAAGAAGTGGGCGGTTATTCCGGGGGTTTGGTGAGCTTTGCATCTCCCATGTTTTGATGGTGGATTGGAAAGCGAACCAAGGTAAGAGGGAAGGAAGAACATGGACGGCTGGTAGCCTTACTTGAGTCGGCATCACAATTATGATCAATTATTGAACTGCCACGTCAAGGAGCCCAGGATCATGTGTTGTGTGTATGATCTCGAGATACCAATAGAGTCAGATGCCAACTGTGATTATGACGGGAACCTCAACGAAGCTTAGGTTGGACGAGCTGTGCCCGAGGATTTACAACCCGAACGGAATTGCACATCGCCCGGCGCTGAACTGCAGGTGGTGGGGACCGCTGCTTGCAGTGGCTTGGCGCGGCCATAAGCCGCCAACTAACACTGGGAACTCCCTAGTAGGTTGCTTCAGATGCACAACAATGGAAGTCAAGTCCACAAACAACAGGCGCGACCAAGCCGACGTGATGGGATGAATTCGTCACCCTCGCGAGCTCTTGACGCCTGATTAGAAAGTAAAGCTGTAAGTCCGGCTTAGACTAGATCTCTTTGCCACTGCACCATCTCATGGAAATCGGAGCGGCACGATAGCTGCGACGCGGGGCACGAATTCAGCATCGGCGAAAGCAGCGATGCCTCTCCTAAGGAGCGACTCCTTCAAAGACATTGACTTCACTCTTCGTCGACAATTCGGCAAAGAAAACTTTAGGTGTGATGAATGAGCTGTCGAGTACGTGTGATTCCATTCTGACCGATATTCGCAGACCACATCAGAGAGAGATCATCGAGGCTGCCCTCGACGGTCATGATGTTTTCGTCCAGGCTGCCACCTCCTTCGGCAAGAGTCTATGCTTCCAACTGCCAGCAGTTATAGACCGTGGAAGTGTGTTCCGCCTTTCCAAAGCAACTGACGGTTGAAGAAAGCCCAATCTGACCTTTTGTATACAGTCACCATCGTGATCTCTCCATTACTGAGTCTCATGGTAGGTATCACTCCTCAGACATATTGGTCCAAGCGACTTACTGATTGCCCTTCAGATGAACCAAGTCGAAGCCCTCAAGGCATCAGATGTGGACGCTCGTACTCTGAACAGCAACACTACCCTGCCAGAGCGAGACTACATCTACGCTGATCTCGCAACTGGGCATCCCCTCATGCGGCTCCTCTATGTGACTCCCGAGCTGTGTTCGGGCGACCACTTCCGGCGGAAACTGAAACTGGTCTACGAACAGCACGAGCTGGCGCGTATCGTGGTTGACGAAGCCCATTGCATCTCAGAATGGGGCCACGACTTCCGCAAAGACTTCAAACGGCTCTCCTGGTTCCGCGAAACCTTTCCCGATGTACCAGTCATGTGTCTCACCGCCACAGCCAACGAGCAAGTCCGTCACGATGTGCTTACCACGCTAGGGCTGGACAAGACGCCCGGCAAACTCAAGATCTTCAGCATGACAGCCCACCGACCGAACCTGCACCTCGAAGTGCGTTTCACCAGCGACGAAGCCAACGACCGCTACGACGACTTTGTCACCTGGCTCAAGGGCGTGTACGACCGTCGAGCGGCCGCGGATCGAAAAGCCGAGCTAGACGCCACCGGCGAGCGCGTCGAGAACGTACCGGGGATTATCTACACCATCTCCCGCGACGAAGTCGAGTCGCTCGCGGCCGCCTTACGACACGACGGTATCGGCGCGCGGCCCTTCCACGCGAAACTGCCGAACCAGGTGAAGGAGGAGACGTTGGCCAAGTGGATTGCCAACGATCCGGGGTACGATGTCATCGTGGCTACGACGGCCTTCGGCATGGGAATCGACAAGGAGAACGTGCGGTTCGTCGTACACTGGCGGCTGCCCAAGTCGTTTGAGGGCTATTACCAAGAGGCCGGGCGGGCGGGTCGTGATGGGAATGCGAGTTATTGTTTTCTTTACTATAGCCGTGAGGACCGGGATAGGGTTTGTAACTTGGTCATGAGGGAGCCAGTGTCGAAAAACGCGTCCGCGGATGGCATCATTAATAAACAGGCGAGGCAGATGAGTCTTGGTAGGCTGGTGGCGTATTGTGAGGATACCGGTTCTTGTCGGCATGCGGCGATTTGCAGGTATTTTGGGGAGACGCAAGTGCCTGCGTGCGATTACGCGTGTGACTGGCATAAGGACCCGCAGGGACTGAAGAGGAGGATGGCGAGGGGGTTGGCGAGTGAGGAATGGGTTAGTACTCAACGGGAAGAGGGCATGTACGATGAATATTGGAGTGAGTAGGGTTGAACTTGGAGCCTTTGGAGTTTGCTACCTGGTTGATGTCTTGGTTGACGCAGTATTTGAGGTCTAGATTAATATGATACCCATGCTTCCATTCATAGTCTTGCGCGCTGTAACAATCTCATCCTTGCAAGGCAGTGAGTGGTTTCCGGCAACATCGAGTGGGCAACACAATGAGAGAAACGCAGTTTATCGTTTTCGGTGACAGGCAGGTATCTTGGCAACACTTTATCGTACATCTAGAAATTTTATAGACCTCCGCCCGTTGTCCTCTTCCTCACAGGGATTCCCAGCTTGGGTCTCTCCGGTTCCTCATTGTTTTCCATAATCCACGGCATCCTCTTCATAGCTTCCTCCAACTGTAACCCCCACTCCAGCCAAGCGAGTCCCTGGGTGACCGAGTCGCACAAGTCGTCCATCTTGTCGATGTGTTCGCCCTTGGTAACACGCTCCGTCCTCTCTTCTCTCTTGCCCATCAACGTGCCGACGCCGAGGGACTCCGGGAGGTGCGCGGGAGCCGGCATTTCTACGGCGCTGTTCCTCAATTTCTGCTTGGTCAGACTTAACAAATTGTTGACGGCGACGGGAACGGCCCTTACGAAGTAGTCGGCCATGCGCTGCATCTCACGGTTTACGAGACCGAGCTTTTCCTGGTTCTTCAACCACGATCCCAAAAGGCACATCCGGGCCTTCTTGACGTCCTTGATCTTTTTATTGGTTTCCTTCTCGTCAACGTTGATGGGCTCCTCGAATGGGTTGAGAAGCTCGTCATCCTTGTCCTCCTCGGGTGGAATTTCGTTCTCTAACCTCGAGAAGCCCCGTTTCGATTTTGGCTTTATCTTGGCCCTGTTAGGATTCACCAGATCGCGAGGTGTGGGTATCTCATGCCCGTACTTGTCCATGAGGTAGTTGACCACGCGCTTGGGCGGCACGGCAACCACGACGCCCTTGAACTCGCCGCGGTTTTGCATGACGCGCAGGATGGCGTAGATCATGGATTCGAGCATGTTTACGCGGACGGTCCACTCAAAGATGCCGGCTGCGTTGGCGGTACGGAAGCGCTGACGCTCAATGAGGATGTGGGTTGGCTTTTGGGGCAGAATATGCTCCGTGATAAGACGGTAGGCCATGTCAGCCATGGCGTTAGGGGCAAAGTTCTCGCTGACGGCGTCCGTATTCTTCCCATCGATATTGCTCACCTCAAGCCAGGGGAGAAGGTTGAGGTGGCGCCATGCGTGCAAGTCGGCCACACGCCTTGTAGTGTTCTTGATATTATAAGACTGTTGAGTGTTGAAATTTTGTTCGAATGTGGACCCAAGGACGCCATTCTTCCCGTCCTTGGTCCCTTGAAGCATCCCGAAGAAACTGGCCGTGTCAACAATTTCTCCGTCTTTGGACCTGTTGAACCTAATTTCCCCGTCCTTGGGCCTGTTGATCCCGATGCCTCCGTCTCCAGGCAAAGGATACTCTTCGGCCATGGCCTTGCTGTCTTGCATGACTGGAGTGAGAACACTGTAGGCGAAGTTCTTGAGACCCATGTCGATGCTGAGAATGCGAGAGTTGGGAGCTAAAGGTTTGTGCTCTCTAGCCGCGGTTCGAATACGGTTGTACAGGAGAAGCTTTGCTCCAGTCTTTGGCAGACCACACCGGACCATGAGCTCCTGCAACTGGCTGACGTGCAACTTGGCCAACACGGACGGCTTACCCGCCATGATGTACAACTAGCCGGTAATACCGGACTCGACTCAAGCCAGAAATTCCTCACAAGCTTTTGCCAATACAGCCATCTGTTGGAACCGGGCCTTCCCTAGCAGTCGACTGCTTCGAGTGGCTTGAGCTGATATTCTACGCTTGACTCTCTTCGATTGCTCACCACAAATCAGTGTAGTGGTTGATCAGTTGAGTGCCTCTCTCTCTCTTGAGTTGTTGAGCTGGAGAGTCGTGAGATGCCCCAAGCGAGGTTAGATAGCGGGTTCTGTGTTGTGTCGACTCCGTCTCTTGTTGCCCCAAAATGATGGAAGTTTGTAGATGAAGTTGAGAATACCACACTACTATCCTGGACGTCTCGTCTATGGTACCCAGTACAACACTGTTTGTTGCCGTGTGGCTGATGTCGCTGGGTACATTGTACAGAAAAGCACCAACTTGCCTGTATTGTACTCTGCGGCGGGCTTGGTCAATGCTTGCCCAGGATTCCATTACATCGCACTAGCTCAAATGCCTGCCGGGCTTTAAGAACCTTGCTGGCACGGGGCAGTCGGCGGCAGGCAAATCCGACAGTTTGATTCGGGTCGCGGGCACATCAGATGCGAACGGAAGGTCCCTTTCAGTCTGTTTGACGCCCTTTTCTTCTGATCTTCCAGTGGCATCGATGCAATTGGCCAAAGAAAGGCCGTATTCCAGCCTTTCATCCCAACGTCTCGTGGGGTCCAAGCTGACTTTTGCACACCTACACGTTCTAACCCCAACCCCGGTTACACCCCACCCTCAGTCATGTAACTTCATCACCAGAAGCCAGATAACATTACAAACTAGCCACTTTTGTAGCGATTTTGATAGTTCAAAATGTCATAATCTTATTCTTAATACTCCTCAATAATATAAAGTATTAACTAGAAGGCTCTTCCTAACTCTTATAACAGTAGTATTATCGTTACTATAACAACCTTCCTTCGCTTAGGGGCAGCCTTTTTTAAAGCATTACGAACTTTCAAAATCTCTTCTACCCTTACAAATCTATTATTACCCCCTTCTTTAACCTTCTTTTTAAATTTAAATTTCTAGGAAGCTAATTAACTCTATAAATATTAAATTTAATAGTCTTTTATAACAAACTTAGCATTCTTTATATCGAAAGCCTTAACCAACTTTATAAATACCCTCCTAATAGTACAAGTAAAACTAAATATTTTATTACTAATACCCTTATAAATATCCCTAAACTTCTAAGGGGTTTAGAAAATAACATCCTAATTAATAAAGATTATTATCAGCAGTATTATAGCCCGGATTGGCTCGTTAGGGATAGCGGGTAAAGTACTATTATTAAGGACAGCCTCGGGGTCGTTAATAATAATCAATCTATTTATTAACTATATTCTAATCTTTTTAAACCTTAATCTAAGGTTTCTAGAATTTACACCCAATTATAAAACTTCCTAATAACATTTGAAAAACCGTTATTTATTTACTAGTATAGATACTAGAAAATTAGCGTAATCCTTCGTTAAATTTTTGAAATATAATTTTACTATTGAAAAAATGGAGCGATTAAGCGGTTAAGTCTTATAAGAAGTATAGGGAGGCAAAAAGAGTAATTGAACGCAGTATTAAAATACTTCAATAATAAAATTATTAAATAGATAATTTAAATACTTATCCAATATAAAAAAGCGCTAACTATTATTTATCTAAGTCTTAGAAAAGTAAACCTCCTTCAACTAATATAGAGTAATTCTTAAATTATTCCAACTACTTAATAAACTATTAAATTTCTAGCTTTTAAATTTATTTTTTATATTATTAGGGAACTATTAACTTTAAAGAATTATACTAGTAAAAATAATAATAGGAATCAACTTCTTACCCTCAATAATCCTACACTCGATAATAATTACCTAAATCGTTACGTTAATCATTATTAAATATACCTTCTTTATTAGAACAATCCTAAGTACTTTACTATCCTTTAATTCTAATTCTTGAAGACTATATTTATCTATATTCGAAATATTAGCAAAAATAATACCCTTATTACGAATTTAGGCTTCTAAAAGGTCGAAGAACTTTATAAAGGCTTTTTAGGTAAACCCTCTAATTTTAACTAATTTAAATAGTTTAGAAAATTTAATTTTAATATTAGAATTTTTCGTTAAGAAGCGATCAATCTAACGGACGCCTAACTTATTATTATTACTTCCTCTTTTTAATATTAAAGTTACGATTCCTAATACTTAATAATAATTAAGAGCCCGGCCAACCTTCTCCTTATTTAATATCTATTTATATAAGAAGGATTCTTAGGCGGGGTATCATAGCTGAGCTAGACTGCTTGCTGCATTGCTTGCTGGGTCTTGCCAAGACTGCCAAGACCACTCCCATTGGCCCGTGCTCATATCTACGCCTTCTAGTTGGGTGTATCTTTATTGTATTCCACCCGTGTTATTTAATTAGTTGTATCCTTCTAAGGACCCACTTTATTCCTATATTTAATTGTATTAATTAGAGCTAGCACTTCTCTTCTTCTCTTTTACTCCCAATAATTAATTATTTATTACATTCGTCAAATTAATAGTACTAGCTACTTGCCCAATCTACGTACTGTAACACTTAATTAACTATCCCTTCTTTAATTAGCTTAGTACGCATAAGCCATTAACTAATTAGCAATTGTAATCTCTCTCTCTTTAATTAGTACCGCTAAAAGCAAGGCCGTACTACATTAACATTTACCCGACCAACAGAACCCGATTTCTATATACAATTAAATAGGGCGCCTACTATTTTACTAAGTCTAGCCCTAATACGAAATACATAAAATATTATATAAACTATATTATTAACGCGCTAGAAGGTTTACGATTAAAAGTAGAGGATTATATATAACCCCAAAATTCGCTGTACTAACAAAGAGGTCCAAAACCCGAATTTTCTTTTTTCCAACCCTATTAAACTACGATTTACATTATTAATACCGGTTAATTAGTATCGTCTCAACCAACTATTTACTTCTCTAATCTTATTAAATTACATTTAATATTTATTTCTTTTGCTTTACTACCTTCAAAAGGCAATTTAATTTGCCTCCCTTTAAAAACACCCATTTTTTCTCTTCTTTACTTCAATAATTACTACTATTATATTTAATTAATTATAACTAAAGTGCGCCCGCTTATACAATTATACTTTTTCAACCTATTACCTTCAATACTTCTTTATAATAGCGGACCAAAATTAGTAATAGGCCTTAGCGCTAACGCCCGAACAAATTCTGGAAAACTATAATATCGCGATCTAACGTATTAAAAAGATTATTTAAAATATACTTTTTAATATAAATATCTTAAATAAAAAGTTCTCTTTATTAGTTAAAACTATTAATAAGGCGCTTACCCCTAAGGCAAAATTGTTTAATACTAATAAATTCACCGGAATTAACTTCTCTTTTAAAATATAGTTACTTATAATTTGTATAAAATTTAAATTCGATAATAAAATTATTAGTAATATTAAAGTGTAATTCTTTTATATTTATTCCCGTTTCGATAGAAAAATCTAGGCCTTAGTTATATTGCAATTAATTTAATCCTTTAATAATAGCGTTTTCGAACCCTAAATGCTCCTTAATTAATTAGCCTATATTTATAATAATCCTAATAAAATTTAATAAACCGAAGCCGCTTTATATATTATTTAATAGTATAAGGATTCGTTTAATATATTTATTATAAAATTTGAATATTTATTCTATAAAATTTAAGCCAATACCTAGTCCGAACCTATAAAGATCTTCCTCTTCTATTAAACCTTTAATAAAGAAATTCGTAAATAAATACTATAAATTTATCCCCAGCCAATTATATACGTAGATTATATCGATAAATTGAAGGAGGTATTCGGATCTATTCACTTCTCTAGTAAATATAATAGTAATTATAAGGATAAAGATACTATAAATATCGACGTCATTCAAACTACGTTAAACTTAATTGAATTTAATTATATAATTTCCTATAAGGCTTCCGATAAGACTCTACCTCCCGCTCCTAGTACTACGGCTATAATTCCTTTAATTTTAACTTTTTGCGCCCAACTCAATATAATTGCGGCTTTATACGACGATAATAATAATAATAACGTTGATAATAATAATAATTCCGTCTTAAATTATAATTTTTATACTTCTTATTTATTAAAAAACTTCGAGCGTAAATTAGAACGCATATACTACGGTAATAAATTAGTTAAATAGGGCCGCGACTTAGATTAATTAGTATTAATTAGTCCCGAGGATATAGAATTGGATTAAGGCTTTGTAAATACCTTAATAGTTATGTGGATTAATAGATTATAGTAGTTCTAATTGATTCTAAGTTTGAATTTTTCTTCCGTAAGGGGGGTAATATTATAATTAAGCTAGACTGTTTGTTGTATTGCTTATTAAGTCTTGCTAAAACTACTAAAACCACTCCCATTGGCCCGTATTCATATTTGCGCCTTTTAGTTAGGTACATCCTTATCGTATTCCACCCGTGTTGTCTAATTGGTTGTATCCTTCCAGGGACCTACTTCATTCCTGTATTTAGTCGTGCCAGCTGGAGCCAGCACTTCTCTTCTTCTCTTTTACTCCTTATAGTTAATTATTTATTACATTCGTCAGATTAGCAGTGCCAGCCACTTGCCTAGTCTACGTGCCGTGACACGGGGGAGAGTTTTTATTAGAGTATTTTAATTGTATAAAGGGAGGGCGTACTTCGGATATAGTCGGAAATAGTAGATTGTAGTACACTATACTTTTTAGTTGTTGTACGTTAGGAAAGTCCGTTACAGACTTTAGAGATCATTTGATTAAATAAAGACGAAGCTATCGCGACCAAAATTAATTAAAACGATAGTATTTTAGTAGAATTATTATTATTGAAAGAATAAGGGTATCCGGTTGTATAGGGAAATAGCGGTGTGGGGGATGCGACCGAGGGAGGGGGGTGACCGGGGTTGGGGTCGTGACGTCTAGTTCAAGTTTAAAAGCCCTCGGTCGTATTTTACATTTTTGAGGTTTCTTTCATAACCGACAGCCTATCTATAAACTTTCCTTTCCCTTGCGGGTTGTGCGAGAACCCCGATGGAGAGACTTTGCTTACATGATCGACTTCTACGCGCTTCGGCATTTTGCGTTGCTTACTTACTGTAACCCACACTTGCCAGTCCATATTCAACTTTTTCCCGTACTGTCTCCCTGTAACTCTTGTGTAGAGGGAGATGATCCCCATGATATCATTACTCAGATGATGACAAAAGGGGAGAGAGACGAAGAAGCCGTGAAAGAGGCAAACTTTGCGATTCACATTGTAGTATATACACGTCACGATTCTCTCTGGTCTCTCTGTTGGTTGTGCAGGTACTTGGACTGATACTCAAATTAGATACACTACTAATCGTACCGCCGCCGCCAACTTGGGCATGCTTACTGAGGTGGACACGGCCGCGCTTGCGTCAGATAGGGTCCAGGTCATGTCACCATTCCAAATACAAATCTCAAATAGATAGCACATCCAATGTGGTTCCCCAGTCTCTCGGTGTATGGCAAAAGGCATTTGGGTTATTAAAGACAATCTAGATCGGGCTTGTCGCAATTGGAGCAGGGTAGTCCCCCACTTCGATTGAGACAATGTGCCGACACTAGCGTACATATTCCAAATCCTGGGGCCGCCAACACAGTCCACAGACAACCAAGGTAACTACACTACTACCCGCACCAACACCACCGCAAACGCGCCCCAAGGATTACCAACCGCAGCTGTCGCAACCGTACCCCGCGGCTTGTCTTTTACTTGCTTCCTGACCCTCGCTTCGTCCCCCAGACCACTCTTTATTTTTGCGATACCAGCCCGGACACCGTTGTGGTGGTTTATATCTTTCGTCCATGCCCTCTCTGTCCTTCCTTGTTCGACCTTCTGTTGTCTCGTCCAGACTAGCTTCAGGCCGAGTTGGTTCTTTGTCTAGACATTTCTCCGTCACAGCTCTCAACATGGCTCCCATTTCTAAAGAAACCGATTTTCTCGTCATTGGTGGTGGCAGTGGTGGCATCGCGACTGCCCGCGCTGCTGCTGGCAAGTATGGCATCAAGTCCATGGTAGTCGAGGGCAAGCGTTTGGGAGGCACATGCGTCAATGTTGGGCAAGTCGCCTTTTTATTTTTATCATTGCGTTCGTCTTGCTCGAAAGGTCAAGCTCTAACAACCTCTCTTCCTCTTGTAGCTGCGTACCCAAAAAGGTCACCTTCTACGCCGCTCTTATTGCCGAAACCATTCACCAGGCCAAGGACTACGGCTTCAGCGTCGAGCAAACTGCTCCCTTTGACTGGCCTACCTTCAAGCAAAAGCGCGACGCTTATGTCGCCCGTCTCAACGGCATCTATGAGCGCAACCTCGCCAACGACAAGGTCGAGTATGTGCACGGCTGGGCCAAGCTCCTGTCCCCCAACTCGGTTGAGGTTACTCTCGATGACGGTACCAAGTCGGTTGTCAACGCCAAGAAGATCCTGATCGCCGTGGGCGGCAACCCGACCATCCCTCCCCATATCCCCGGCTCAGAATATGGTACCAACAGCGACGGCTTCTTCGACATCGACACCCTTCCCAAGAAGGTCGCCCTTGTTGGCGCCGGCTATATTGCTGTCGAGTTTGCTGGCATGTTGAACGCCCTCGGCGTGGAGACTCATCTCTTCATCCGCCACGATACCTTCCTTCGTAGCTTCGATCCTATGATCCAGCAGGTGTCGGTTAAAGAGTATGAGCGCATCGGGGTCAAGGTCCACAAGAAGAGCCAACTCACCAGTGTCGAGAAGGATGCGGCGGGCAAGCTAGCTATCAACTTCAAAGAGGGTGAGGGCGAGCAATCTATTTCCGATGTCGACCATCTCATCTGGGCTGTTGGTCGCACACCGGCGGTCGAGGGTCTCGGCTTGGACAAGGCGGGTGTCAAGACCAACGAAAAGGGCTACATTGAGGTGGACGAGTACCAGAACACCAGCACCGAGAACATCTATGCCGTAGGTGATGTGTGCGGTCAGGTTGAGTTGACCCCTGTCGCCATTGCTGCCGGTCGCAAGCTGGCCGCCCGTCTGTTTGGCCCCGAGGAGTTCAGGACACTCAAGCTGAACTACGATAATGTGCCATCCGTTGTGTTCGCCCATCCTGAAATCGGTTCCATTGGCCTTACCGAGCCCGAGGCGGTTGCCAAGTACGGCGCCGAGAACCTCAAAATCTACAAATCTAGCTTCACTGCCATGTACTACGCCATGATGAAGCCTGAGGATAAGGCACCGACAGCCTACAAGCTCATTTGCGCCGGCCCCGAGGAGAAGGTTGTTGGTCTGCACATTATCGGCCTTGGCAGCGGCGAGATCCTCCAGGGCTTCGGTGTGGCCATCAACATGGGCGCGACCAAGGCCGACTTCGACAACTGCGTGGCTATTCACCCCACCAGCGCCGAGGAGTTGGTGACCCTCAAGTAAACAGAGTGCGGATAGGCGAAAAGGGTGGTTCTCATTGATTTGTACCTATTTAAACCGGATATACCTCTGCATGTTTGGAAGATGGTGTTTATTCGTAGCGTGGCAGCCTTATTAGAAGCAAAAGTTGGAAATGATACCTGAACATATAACACTCGCGAGATACCACTTTATGTTGTGTGCATTGTCTCTTGGGTGCAAATTGGGGACATCAAATAACCGCCGAGATAGGCGAAGATAAAGAGCAAGAACGCGACAAGCGCCTATGGAATGTACTCCGATAAGATACTACGTAGAACTGGCTGTGACGTGCTTTGTACCCAGAAGTGCTCAACCTGTAGAGCTAGGGCCCGTTTCAGCCGAGGGTACTTGGCAGCTGGTAGAACCCGAATTGGGGAGGGAGATCCATTCGCGGTGTTTAAGTAGCTGTACGGCGAGCCATTCTGTCAGAGGCGCAAAAAGTCAGACCACCACGACCAATGGCCTGCGACTGGTCAGATACGATACCCACCACGCGCAGCTGCCAGAGCTGTGTGGCCAGCTGAGACAGCCTAGCTTATTCCCAATTCCGAATGTCAAGATTCCGCAGTAGCGTCACGGACCACCTCGGGCAGCTCCTCCAGTTTCATCACCACACTCCAAGTGCTTTCCCACCTCGACTCTCCTTGACACCAGCTTCTGACCGAGCAAGGAATCGCCAAATTTCCACTCAAGGTATGCCATTCTCCTTGTGATATCACTCTGCAGGTCGCCCTGAGCTCTGCTCCCAACTGCTCCTTTGAATTCTGGATAGCTGACTGCGTGTGAATTGCTTGCGAGAAAAAAGATGTTCTCCCGTGTTGCCCTCCGCGCGGCTCCCCGCCAACAGCCCTTCAGCCTCGTTGCTCGCCGCACCTTCCAGACCACCCGCGCCCAGCTCTCGTCGCCCTACCACTACCCCGAGGGTCCCCGCTCCAACCTTCCCTTCAACCCCAAGACCCGCTTCTTCTGGTTCCGTTACCTGATGTACTGCGTCGTCGGCTTCGGCTCCCCTGTTGCCATTGCCGGTGCGTGATTTCTCCCTGTCCGAGAGCGGAAGTATACGGTCCCACTGACGTAACCTGATTCCAAACACAACAGTCTGGCAGACCTACCGCCCCCGCTCTTAAACGGCTCGCTACTAGCTGTTATGCGGGTGCCGATATGATTGGGAAGTTTGAGCGGGCGATGAGTTTGATGCGTGCGTAATAAGGGGGGGAATGCCGAAAGGGGGGAAACGCAAAGAATTGACCGGCACGAATATAGTCGCAGGTAGTCCGGACTGTCCGGGCGCTCTTCTGTATATGATACGACACGGATAGAAACCACCATCATCATCATCATCATCATCGACCCCGACGTTTCTCTCTCTTTGGACCCTACGAGAACCATTGGCTCTGGCAAGCCTTCTGACTTTGTTAAGGGGAAGATGGAGGGTGGCAATGGGCGCTGGGGCTCCTGGCTGAAGCTCTGATCATGGATGGAGGGAAAGCTTGCTGGGATGAGATCTGGCATGGGACGACCTGGAAGCCATTGACTGCTTCGTCAATGGTGTGAGGTAAGCAAGCTACGCAGAGCACCATTAACTGACTGCGTCTGTATTGAGTGGCGTTATGGTAAGTCTTCTCAGGTAAGGTGTCTTGAGAACAGCACTCCAAGGCGGGTAAATCGGTGCTTCTGACCTATTCACTGCTGCGGTAGAGTTCTGGAGCTCAAATATGTGACTTTCAGAATAAAGGCGACAATGCGAGCTCAAGGATGTAGCTACATGGTCACGTTTTCAGGGTATTGCTGCCAGCAGCTTCCCGGTCAGCTGCTCGTAGGCATGATAGACAGCAGTGATGGAATTCCACCTACTCTAATCTTGCCCCATCTCATATCGACATCGACCTTGGCACCGGATGGAGGCGACGACTTTGGGCGCCGGAGGACAAGACGGTTGCTATAGTGTAGCTATCAGGAAAAGACCAACGACCAATGTAAACAAAGCCCCTGATCGGAGAGTCCTCGGCACAGCCAACCTACCTATGTTTCACACTCAGGACACCGCCCTCGTTACACTAAGGTTGCAGATATGCAGCTATGCGCACGAGCCAATCGGCCAGCTTCCGTTGTCCCGTGTAAATGCATTCCAGATACTTTGCGCCAGAGCAGAGCGAAGGTACCCTTTCGGAGCTCGCCCCCTGTCTGTTAGTGCCAGGTACTTGCCCAGGGTCCGCTACCTCTAGGGTACCCACGACGCCGCCGGTTCCCCCCCAAACATCACAACGTCAACCGCCATTCCATTCCACCTGCCAGGAGGAGGAGCCGCAACAAAACACAACACCAACAAACGCTACACTACTTTTACCACCCAAACACCACGACGGAACACCTAGAGAGGATCACCCGCATCTTCTTAGACCCGCCTTGCGACAGAAACTACGCTGAACACGTTGCGCGACATGGTATGAGGTGAAGCGAACATGCAGACTTGCCGTCCAGGCAACACGTTATACGGATCACCGAAGACGACGTCAAGGAGAAACACAAGATATCCAACAGCGGACTTTCCACCGCCACGCGAATAATACGTATACACACACACACACACACACATACATACACTCATACACGAAAATGGACTTACCGCCCGTCAACCTCGCCGAGCTGCTTCGGCACCCCGATGATCTCGACAAGATCACCGCCCTGAAGGCCGAATTCATGCGGAAAAAGGCAGCTGTCGACTCCCAACTGCGCAGCGGCCTGCGAGAGCAGCTCGAGACGACACAGGCCGGCATGAACGGCCTGGCTGACGGGCAAAGGACGGTACAGCAAATCAAGGAGGAGATGATGAAAATCGACAAGATTTGTTCCGAGTCGCAAGACATGATCACCGACTTTGCTACCATCAACCTGGTGTCCCAAGCCCACCGCAACTTTGGCGCCGTCGAGACTATGCGCCGCAACCTCGAGACTTTCAGCGAGCGCTTGGACGCTATCGACAGGATGTTAAACGAGGACGACGAGGACCCCGAAAACATGCCCAACCTACTGGCTATTCACTACGAGTTGACGCAGCTCCGTAATATCCGAGACGATGCCATTGAGCAAATACAGAGGGGCGACGATCCAGGCCTGCAGTCCACACTAGAGGATTACTTCTCCCGCCTGGATAAATACATTGAGTGGTTCGATGTGAATATCACCCTCGTCGCCATGAGTTTGATCAACCTGGTTATTGCGGACAACAACAGTCTGGTCGTACGTTTCGCACTGATAATAGAAGCTGAGGAAAAGAGCGATCAGAGGGTTTTGGCCTTGCAAGAAGCGCTGAAGGATCACAAGGAAATGGCCACACGCTTCCAGAGCATAACCGACGGCGCCAAGACGGTCAGGGGCTATAAGGACAAGTTTTTGAAGGCTATCAAGACCTTTGCCGAGGACCAGTTCAAAGAGAGCAAGGAGAAGTTCTTGGGTGATCCGGATATGCTCGACAAGTCCTTGAAATGGTACTTCAACGATCTGAACGCCGTCAAGATCGGCATGACGCCGCTTATGCCCAAGAAGTGGAAGATATTCAAGACATGGGCCACCATTTACCACGGCTTGATGCATGACTATCTCATCGGGCTCATCGACGATCCGGAGACCAGCTCGGCACATACTTTAGCCATAATCAGCTGGCCTGAGGCTTACTATCGCAAGATGACCAAGTTGGGAATGAAGCAGGACGAACTAACACCACATGTGATCGACAACCGCGAGGCAGAACTGGTGCGCGACTTCCGCGCCCTCATCATCAAGTTCCTCGACGAATGGATCGACCGTATCTACAAGCAAGAGTGCAAGGACTTTGTCGACCGCAACGTCGAGGGTGGCAACCTCGACCAGGACGAGTATGGATACTTCCGCACCAAGAACCTGGTCGATTTGTGGCGCATGCTCCGCGAACAGGTCGATGCCGCGGGCAACTCGAAGCGTGCCGATGTTGTGGAAGGCGTCATCGACACCATGTTTCAGCGCTTGCGCACCCGCCAGCAGTCCTGGCAGAAGATGCTCGAGGACGAAGCCGCGCGGTACGAGGTGCAACCCCCACAAGGCCAACCAGAGCTGGACGGCTTCCAGCCACTGCAGGACTGGCTCGTGGCGACAGCCAACGACCAAATCGCCTGCATCGACGACAACGAGGATGAAGGCCGGATGGCGTACCTTTCCGACTTCCGGCGTAAATTCAGCACGCTCGTGTCGCCGCAGTACATGGACCGGGCCGAGACGGAGATCACGGCTCTGCGCGACGGCTACGTCGACCTGAGCACGTGGTGCATGACCAAGTTTGCCCAACTGGTGTTCGCGGTCGACTTCCGCACCGTCATGCCCGACTTCTTCACCCCCCGCTGGTACACGACCAACGCCATGGCGCGCATGATCGCCACGTTCGAGGAGTACGTGTCCGACTACAAGATGGTGCTGCACCACTCGCTCGTCGACATCTTCATCGAGATCTTTGCCGAGGAGCTGCTCATCCGCTACCTGTCATCAGTCCGCAACAAGGGCGCCAAGTTCCGCAGGCAGGATAACTTCCAAGACAAGATCTTTGACGATCTCTCGACCGCCTTTGACTTCTTCAACAACTTGCCGAACCCCGACGTGGGAAATGCCATCAAGGAGACGTGGCGCGTGTCGGAGCCGTTCTTACAGTTGTTGACGGTCGATAAAGAGGCGGTGCCGGACGCGTTTGCAGAGTTCAAGAGCCAGTATTGGGATTTGCAGATCAGCTGGGTCGAGGCAGTGTTGAGGTCCAGAGACGATTTTGAGAGAAGCATGTTAAATGCGGTCAAGGCTAGGGCCGCCCAGATGGACGTTGTCAGAGGGCCGGAAACTATCATGAGCAAGGTCAAATAAGGGGACACGCGATAGTCATCCTGGGTTGAAAATAGATAGGTTTAATGATGCGAGATTCTTGGGATTGGACTGTAGTAGGTACGGAAGTCGGGAAGGGAGTTGGAAGTTCTATGCATATAATGATACCAGCTTTTGTAAGCTACAGCGAAGACATTTTCGAGAGTAAATAAGAGAACCGAAGGCCAGTCTAATGGTGGGTGGTTGTCCGTCACTTGAAATGCTGCCTTTAACTTCCATCATTCATGCAACCACATAAATATTCTTCAGAGTCCAAACTCCGGCTCGCTAAGCGTGCCCTTCTGGTTCGACCCAAACATGCAAATGCCGATAGATACTACGCGACTGGTCCGCGTCTGAGGGAAGGAAAAAGAAAAAGAAGAAAGCAATATACAAGAAACAGTGACGTCCAGCCACCACCGACGCCATTATACGAAAAACAAGCAACAACAACTCTGTGTGACTATGTAAAATCTGTGCCTAAGCATCATTAGCTCATGGTAGTGTCCGTGACGTTCTGTGTCCCGCCGCCAGACCTCTTTGTCTGTCTCTGTGTCTGTCTCAATGTTCTGTCGTGATGTGTTTGTACTGTATTACCATTTCCCTCTTCTTGATCCGTTGATGAGCAGCGAAGACAGAAAGTCCGCCATGAATAGCTCGTCCTTGTCACTGAGCTCCCAGCGGGCCCTGAGTTGGTCGTAGACTTCGACGACTCTGTCGCCGTTTGTGCATCGCATGAATGCACGCAGGACCCAAATGGCCAGCCAGGTCTTGATCTCTATGCCTGGCCGGTCGACACCCCATTCTTTCTTTTGTTGGTACTCCTCCTCTTCGAAGGGGAGTTCGGCTTCATCATCGTAAATATCAGGATGGTGTTCCTCCTCGATATGATCTTCGTGGACCTGAACTGGCTCATAGGATTGGGTTTCTTGAGCTTGATCATCAGTAAACGCTTCCTCGTCAACTGGTGGAGGCGCCGAGTCATGAATAAGTGTCCGTCCAGCGTCTACGGCTTCTAGCAGGGCCGAATAGATTGATTCTAACCGCCTCGCGCTCCATGCCGAAGTTGCGTAACCTCCATGACGGTCAAAAGCTCTGAACAAAACCTTGAAGATGGAGCCGTGAACAGGGATATCAAACAGCTTCATCTCGTCGATGTACTTGGCCACGCGGGAGAGATCTCCGCACCGAACGCCGTAATATTTGACCAGAATGCTATACGTCCGAAGGTTCGGATGCATTGGTACCATCTCTTGAAAGCTGTGTTGCAACTCGGGAGCTTTCTTTGCAACCCGGGCCATCATCTTCAGCGCCTGGGTGATGGCGCGATCGCTGGCATAGCTCCGGGTTGGGAATGACACCTCCGACCACTTCGCGATAGAAGCCACCATGCGAGCATAAATACGCTCGGCCGCTGCTTCCTCGCCCGACCGCAACAGTCCAGATATGACGGCGTTGAGGACAACCGTGTCAATCATCTCGCCGGCCTCAACCATCTCCCGAAACGCGGCGCGCAGTCCACCAGTCTCCCTCTTGAGCCCAAAGAAATGGATCAAGCTTACGTGGTGATAGCGGTTGAAATAGTGCCCACGGCTGACCATTTCTTGGTAAATCATTTCAGCGAGAGTGAAGTTGCCAGCCTTCGAGGCCACATCAAACAAAATGTTGAAGGTTACCTCGGTCGCCTTGATGCCAGCGTCGACTTCCATCTCGCGCCACAATCTCATGGCAGACTGCGCCTGGGTTTCGGTGACAGTGCCAACATATCGGCTTGCGAAAGAGATGGCGCAATTCCACTCCCCTGCCGTCAAGGGCATGCTGCAGTTCCTCACATCCGCTATGACGGCGAAGTACCGCAGCATGGACTTGGAGTTTCTCCGCTGAGGCTGCCCTAATGCTTTGAGGAGCTGATGTCGCAACCGACCATTGATGTAGGGCATGCGCGGTTCTGGCAGTTGTTGGTAGAGGTCGTAGATCGTGTCAAGGTCTACCTTGTGTGGAGTGCGCAGCCGTACGAGTACAGCAAACCTGAGATCGCTCAGTGTGTGTTGGCCATATTCGTCCAGTCCAACCACTTCGTCCGGGCCTGGATACTCGTAGTCATCTTCATTCTGTACAAAGGTGAACCGGGGCCTGTCAGCGGGCGCATAATTATGCATGTAAGGATCCCGAATGAACTTGAGGTAGTCTTCGACCGTTCCATCTAGATCATGATAGGGATCTACCAGTTCAAGCAGCTCTTCTTTGGTGAGATGACCGGGCTTCGCACTGTGGGTTTCGGGCAGCTCTTGTGATTGTGGGTTTGCGCCCGAGTGGGACTCGGTCGACAGATCGTCATGTAGCGCGGATGGGGCCGAGAAGACGGAGTTGGCGGGCTTCTGATCGGCACTGGGTTCGGGGGCAGCTTCGGCAACGGGCTCAGGGACCGGGGCTTCCGCCGCCGCCGCCGCCGCCGTGTGGCTCTGCTTTTGGGGAGCAGAGACCGAATGGCGGAAGAAGTTGGAGTCGAGTGCTCGTCTGCTGTTCGTGCCGGACAGACTGGTGGGAGTTGCTCGCAGGGATGGGGTGATCAGTAGCGGGCAACCGGTGGAGCCTCCTATGGGTCTCCTCGCGACCCCATCGACAAGGCCACTTTGAGAGCTCCAGCTGCCGTGGAAGCGCCGTCGTTGTTGTACTGGGCCGAGGCCTGCTGTCGCAACCTGTCTTCTTCGTCCGCTGCCTTGGTCACCGAGCTGGATGGATGCTGTGGTTTGCGACACGGAACTGGTGGCAGCAATTGCGGTTGCGGAGGCGGCAATGGCAGACCAATTCCACGACGGACGATGCAAGAAGATGGTGCCGCATATCGACCCTTCAAATCGGCTGGAGACTTTCATGAGCTGCCGCCGTCCAACATGATGACCTGCCCATTCAGCCAACCCCCTTCTTGCCTGTTCCCCGCGAGTGTCGACCGCAATTCGATGAAGGAGAGCTCAGAGGAAACGCAATCACAAGCTGCTGTGGCACTCGATGCGATCGCGGTTACTGGCGAATTGAATCGTAATCAGGTCGATGTGGTCAGGGCGTCAGATTCGTGGAGGGCGGGGAAGGATGGGGAGAACGGGGAGAACTCGAGTCATGAAGTGAGGAGGGATGTGGCAGGAAACTGGGGTCGGGTGAGCGATGCGATGAATGAGAAAAAGTTGGGGTATGTAGTGTACAGTACATGGACGAGGTACAGCTCCAGGTACCTTGCCGTGAGCACACCCCACCCCTGCCTCTACGAAAGAGGGGAAGCTGGAATGGGGTCCAGTCTCGGCCGGGCTCCCGACCTCCACTTTTGTTATCGATAAGCACTTAGCTAGGTACATAATACTTCCCTTTGGTCGCTTAATGGCGGGGCGGGGAACTTTTTTTTTTTTGCCGGCACGTCCTTCCAATTGCTCGCTCGCGGCAGGCGGGACAGCAGGTCGCGCGGGTCACCGGCAACAACCTCAAGGTCGTGTCGGAACGTGCCTGTCTCCAAAAGGCACAGCTCCACTTTGGACAAAGCTAAGCAAATAGCGATAACGATAGGTTTGGCGGGTGAGGGAATCCATTGTACCTACGCAGCGCAGTGTATTATCATTACCTTACACAGGTATACACACCCCGTAACCTCGTAGTCTAGCCTTGCCTTTGCCTTGGGAGGGAATCTTGAGGGACCAAAGGACCGCCCAATCAGCCAAATGGTCCTCTGATCTCAGCCAACACCACCGCTGCTGTCGATTATCGCCAGTAATTCCCTCCATAACCTAACACCCAAACGCCGCCAGCGACGACCGGACAAGATGGGCAAGGGGCGCATCTTCCAGGCCGCAAAGGTCTACCAGAGGGCCAGCGAGGCTGCTGCCACCAACATGGTCTCTGGCCTGCCACCACGGAACCCGCCACTGTGGCTCAAGGCCATTGAGTCCATCCCTCCCGCTGAGATCAACACCAGGCCGTATCCGATCCAGCACTCTCCGCCGAACCCGCGAGCGCGCAAGCCACGCAACCTCTTTAGGCCCACCAAGATCGTCTATCCCGAAGATGAGTTGCGCCGCGACTTCTACCGCGACCACCCTTGGGAGTTGGCCAGGCCGAGGATGATTATCGAGTTGGATGGCAAGGACGCCCGTTTCCTTGACTGGTCCAAGGGCCTCAGGCAACGCGGCATGCCTTTGTCCGGCGAGAGGTACGTTGTTGGATGAGCGCATTGCACATGGCGCAAAAGCCCGGCGGACACGCATGGAAATAGGATGCTAACCCGAATTGCACACTATAGTGTCGTTCAACGTCAGCTCTGGCTTATGGAGAATCAGGGCATGACCAAGCAGGAAGCCTACGACAAGGCGCGCCACGAGTTCTACAAGTTGAGGCAGTTGGAGCAGATGGAGCGCAGGATAGCCGTCGAGGAGGCCCGCATGGTTGGTGGCTACTTTGGCAAGGACCTTCTGACGGTCGGCATGGAGCTCGAGAACAAGACGTTTGAGAGCTGGAAGAAGTGGGCCACGACCGAGATCGCCCGCCAGGAATCCGCCAGGGCTTCCATGTACACCAATGTCGTCGACAACTCTGCGCTCGAGGAATCTGAGGAGGATGAGCTGCTCGCGCAGAACTAAGGCAGCGAGTTGGAGTAAAGGGGGAGGGAAGGAGTGGTGTAGCGTGGCTGATACCCATCCGTGTCGGGGAAAAGACGATGCCGGCCCACTCATGCACAAGTGTAAGAATATCACGTCTCTTTGTACATATAGAGAGGGCAAGAGACTTTGTACAAGTACATGTGATTCAGGAGCCTGGTCGCCTATCTTTGAAGAAAGCCGGCAGACACCGGCCCGATATACTGACTACCCTTGAATATCCTCGCCAGACTCTCGTGCTGCACACCGACAACATCAGCAATGCCCGTCTTTAGAAACAACTTCCCCGTCAGACTCATCGTCTTGGACCTGGCCCAGGTCTCGATGTACACCATTTTGGCCCTGTTTTCGGGTACGAGGTAGAATATCTTGAGCAAGTGGGCCACAAAACACACAATAAAGCCGTTGGCAGGCCCATTTGTAACAATCACATGCGGGTATCTGAACCCCTTTCCATGATCCTTTGTCGACCGTGGGTTGGGCATCCGTGTGAGGGCATTGGCGGCATGAAAGGCGGATATAAGGCAGGTAAAGGGTGCCGTACAGAGCGGTTGATGGACCTTGCGCGCACGGCGGATTAAGAAGATATCAGAGGTGCCTGCTCGAGCATCTTCTCCGGGATAGGCGTCCTTGATAGTCGCTTCCAGAAGGCGGGCCTTGGCGAGAGAGGAAGTGTCTCCGATGGAGATGATGTACCGCCGGTGGATGTTTGCCTGGCCGCGAAATGACTGCTTGATGGTCTCAATCATCTCAGCAGTGTGTCCGCCAGAGCCAAGTATATATGTGAAGTAAACAGCAGGAAGAGAGGTGGTGTTGGGAACCTGTGTGCCAGCGGCATTGGGTTGGGGCGTATTGCTGGGGACGAGCCAGCTGCCACCTGGCTTTTGACGCCGCCGTATTATTTCAAAGTGCCGGTAGACAATGAAGGTAACAAGCACTATCCCGACGGTGATGACGAGGGAGATGAGCCATGGCCATGATAGACCAGAGAGGACAAGCCCAGCTGCGGTGGAGGACGCAGCACCCGCAACAAAGGCGGCTGCTGTTAAGTTGATGCCGCTCACAGTCTCAACATGTAACTGAGAGTAGGTCTCAGCTCTGGTGTCGGGTTTTAGCTCTTGATCATTGCGCGATTCTTCCTTGCCCGTCAGAACGGACGCTGAAGTAGTAGGGGCCATTCTAGAAAGCCCGAGGTTTCTTTAAATTGAAAAGTCTATTGGTATAATTAGTTTCACATTCTTTGAATATGGAGTCTGGGTACTTGATGCTGTCACCTTGCCGAATCTTTTTAACGTGTTTTGTTCGAAGGTTTCCTGAGTCACGCCCTCCGAAATAAAGGGGCTGATAAACATACACAAAAGGGGCACATCCAATTGGTGTAAGAAGGAGAGGCTTATTTGGTTCCGTCTGGAGGTGAACATGTAGACTCGCTCATATAAGCCCCTTACCGACTCGACACATGTGTCTCCAGGTTAATGGGTGTTTTAGATCTGGCAATATTTAAAGGTTGATATCTGATACCAAGATCAAAGGGTTTCAAGTCGTAGAGGCATGTGGAAAGATGACACTGAGCAAAAGGCGATGGAACCTAGTGTGGTTTCTGTAGCTACATGACGAGAATGAGCCAGTGCATGTCGCTTTATACGGGGCACGACAATGAATGACGGGAAACTTGGGCCAAATTGAAACCCCTGAAAGAGAGACCTGGAGAACACACGCACCCCTGGACGGAAATGACGACGGTGGCCCCACTGGTGACCGCCCCAGGGCTGCGGTTTGGGCGCATCTGGCGGCCCAGGCCGCTAAAAAGTTGACCGACCGCCTGGCAGAAAGCGGGAAGTTTGGGAACCGCATGGATGCTTGTAGGTTGTCAACGGAACCTCAAGAGAGAGAGCTCCCCCTCAGCAGAGTAACCCCAGAGTCCCATGTCGCTTCCATCTTCACATTCCATCCGTCTTGAATGTATACCACTACCCTTCACCACTTGGACGACCTTCCATCGAGCAATCACCTATCAGCAGAAGAACCATTCCACGACAAATTGAGTTCTCGGTTTCGAATACCTGCGATCATCTTCAGCGGTTGAGGACGTATTTGAAGGAGGCTTTCTGCCCGTGTCGCAGAGAAAGAAAAGACATTGCGCGCCGCTTTTTGAAAACCGAACACAGTCTGCAATGGGCATCGCGTGAACGCGCAACCACTCGAAGAAATGCCCAGACTGAATAGGACTCGATATCTAACATGCTTCTATTGTGGCCGCAAGACCTCGACCCCATGGAACAGCTCCATCCGCAACTTCGAATGCCGGAACTGCGACGCAACAAACTACCTTGATGGCGTAGGTCTCCCTGCTGTCTTGAATCTATCCAGCTGACCTGGTTGGCGCACATTGTACCTGTATACTGACTGACACCTTCTCTTTGTTCCGCTAGAACGGCGACATCACCGATCCTCCTGTAGCGACCGAGTACGAAGCAAGTCCTGCCAAGTTTGCCACGACGCGAGCAACTTCGCCCACCGTCGGTTCCTCGAGCGCCAGCGTCTTTTGCAACAAGTGTTTGGCCAACCAGGACAAGCTTCGAGCTGTTCTGGCCCAGTATCTCCCGGATCCCGACGATTCTGAATACGAAGAGCGATGTAGGAACATCTACAAGTTCCGACGGTTGCAAGAGCGCCTCTATCCTCAAATGTGCGCCGAATGCGAACCGCGCGTCCAGAAGAAACTGGGCGAAGCAGCTTACACGGCAAAAACCGATGTCTTACTCCGGATGATCGAGAGAAGCAACAAGCAGCGACAGCAAGTTACAGGATGGAGTTGGCTGAACGTCTTCGACTCTTTGGGGAGGTGGCTACGGACTGCTAGCTTGGTGCTTCAACTCCTTTGGCACCTCTCCATAATGCTCATGCTGTTCAAGGCGGCCATCGTGACGCGGTTGGGTGAAACGCCGAACCCGTGGACTCTGAGAGCTGTGAATACATGCTTTTGGTTTTTCAACCTTCTGCCGTCAACCGACCGGCTAAGTGGTTGGAGTCTCACTACTGCGATCCTAAGCGTCTGGTGGAATCCACGGTATCCTCAGCTACACCGAGGCTTTACAAAACACATAACTGGGTTTCGAGCCTGGTACATGTATCAGGCCATTCTAATCTTTATGCGATTTTGGGTCAGGAGGTTACCCATCTTAGCTGGCCCGGAGCAAGCAGAGCTGAATATGCCGGCAGCCGCGCATGTTTTTTGGGCCGGCTTTGCAATTCTTGTAAGTCATCTTGCCGGCCCCTTCATAGTCCAATCATGACTAAAATTTGCTTCAGGTTCATCTCCTCGCTCCTCGTGCTATCCATATTGACATGGCGCCCCTATTCGGGACCACCTCTAAACCATCCGCACCACAAGGCGGATCTGTAACACAACCGTCTACATATAGGCCGACAACGGCGAATATGGCGGCAGCAGCTACAGGCCCGAGACGATCAGGACGAGCAGTGAAGCCATCGGCCCAATTACTTGCTGCACGATCTTCATTCTCATCATCACTGCCACCGGCCCCAGCTCCAGCGCCAGCTCCGGCTCCGGTTGCGGCTCCGGCCCCGACACCGGATGAAAAACCAGACGAAATCAAGGTCATGGTTGACTTGCTGGACGAGATAGTCAATGGCCCATCTAGCCCAGCATCTCCAACACCATCAATAGACCATTCACCATTCTTCGTGCCACGGGTAGGAAGGTCTAATGTTCCGACCACTCCAGGGTCTCCATTCTCCCCAACACCACGCCGCTTTGGTACTGGTGCTAGCACTGGCACTGGCCCTTCCTTCTCGTCTCTTGGTCCAGCTGCCAACACAAGGTCAGCAACGGCTGCGTACACGCAGGAAATGGACTGGACGCCTACTCAGTCACAATACCGCGCCTTCCAAACCGTCGGCCAGCGAGAAAACCAAGGCTTTAACGAAGCTCCTACCGATGAGAACAAGGGACCTTTCTGGTATCGTGTACCACCAGCGCCAACAGCGCCCGCTCAGAGGTTAAATAACTACCTCACAAAACAACCACGCATCATCACCCCACGCCACACGGCACCTCGGCCAGGCACAGGGATACCATCCTTCGGAAGTACTGCGCTCGTCAACACTCCGCAGAAACAGATTCTCGGGAGGATCAATAACAACGACCACATGACCATGACTATGAGGAGAGATGCTGGAGATGATACGGGAACCGATCCCACCCCGGCACGGGTTGCTTTTGCGCCACCCAAGTTCTTTGTGCCTCCGCCGCAGAACGATCCCAGGAACTCGCTCTCCGAAATGCTAGGTCGCAGCTTTAGCCTGAGTCAGGAGGAGGAGGAGGAGCAACGCGAGGCGGAGAGGGAGGAGGCTGAGAAGAAGAGTAGAGGCTGGTTAGGCGGTGGGTTGCTTACTTTTAGGTCGACGCCGGCGAAAAAGGACCAGTGAAGCTGGGATTTGGGTTGAGATTTTTGAAATGAATAATTGCTAAGCATTATCTGGTTGGTCCTGCATTGTGGAGTTGGGTTTGTTGTTGGGCAATGTATGTTCTTGTGCATTTTAAGGAACATGGGAGTCTTTTGCATAACAATGGGCGTTTTGTACATGTGCATAGATACCAGCGGTGTCATGGCCGTATATGAGGTGGGAAGTACGGGCTCGATACAGATAAACACTAACATAATGGATTCAAGAGGCGCGTGTGTTTCAGGATACCTTCTAGAACGGGGATCGGTGTTCAACATTGGGGTGTTTGCGCGTGGTTCAGGTATACAATGCTCGCCCTTCTGTTATATATATATATATATACTTGACTACCCTGAAGGATGGCTCATAAACTTGTTCTTGGCCACTCTTCGAACGGCATACTCCCAAAGCAAACCGCTGTATTTCGCTCTTGGTCTTTCGTCAACCTCCGTCGTCCTCGAGTCTTTGTATTTCCAGAACGAGCAACCCCTCCACCAAAGGTTACTACTCTGTAATGCTAGTTAGATCTCAATCATTCTTCCTCTACCAACCCCTGAACCCTCCCCCCAGCAAATCTGTAGATAGACCAGGACATGATGCCAAATGCAACCACGAACCGGCAGAAGTCCCACGCTCCGACCCAATGCGCCATCTCCATAAAGACGTCCCCAATCCACCTCACCAGCGGATACTGACCACTTCCCTACTGATCAGACGAGAACACCCTCAACAGCCCGATCCCAAACCCAAACACCACCCCAAACGCAATAGAAACCCGCCATCGCTTCGACAGCATCCCCTCCTCCCTCAACAACCAAGCAATGGCCCCCAAGGGGAACACAAACCCAATAAACATGCCCTTGACGAGCGTATCCACCATGCCATTGAACCCATCCGTTTCGGCACCTATTGGTTCCGGAACCATCCCGCCGCCGTCATCACTTTCTACCATGCCCGGTCCGCCGACGCCACCGTGGTTGTTGTCTATCCAGGCGTCCTCCATGGATCGCAAAGTATCAGGGGACGGCATGGTGTCGGGAGTAAAGCGCGAGGCTTGGATGGAGGTGAATTGTAGACGAAGCTGGTTCACTTCTGCGGGCGTAAAGCCCGCGGAGAGGAAGCGGTCGAAGCCACGGGGGTGGTTGCGGTCTGTTGTTGTTGTTGTCGTTCCTTGGCCGGCGGAGGCGTTGATCCGGGATCTGGATTCTGCTGTTGACAAGGAGGAGGAGGAGGGTTGAAGGCCGGTGGTGCGGCTGGTTTTCCCGCTGCCGGCACCGGAACCAGTACCTAAGAGGTTGGAATCAACGGATCCAACGGGGGCAGGTACAAACGCCGCGGCTGCTGCCTCGGTGGCTAATTCTTCGTCTGTGAGCTCGTCGCCTATACTGCAGTTCACGTACACACGTTGCTGCTGATGCTGACGATCAACGGCTTTCCCCTTGCCCTTGGCGTCCATGACCATGGGCGGCGGCGGTGGCGGTCGGAGGACGGAGCTCACGACGGCGGTGTCGGGAAGGATCTTGCCGGCGTGGATGAAGCGGAGGCGGCTCCGGGCCGCTTTGGCGGTTGTTTCATCTTTGCTGTCTTTGCTGGAAGATAGGAGGCGCTCGCGGATGCGATGCTTGAGAGCGACGATGGTGGTGCGGTTGGGAGAGGGTATGTCGAGGTGGAGGTCAGGGAGGGAGGCGCTGAATCTGACTGTGAGGTGGAGGGATGGTGAAAATGGTTTGTTTGATGATGAGGCTGTAATCATCCGGGGAACTGGTGGTCTGGAAGCTCGATTGGAGGGCGAGCTATTTTCCCTGTCGTCACTCATGGTCGGATTTCGAGTAGCTCCGCGAGACCACCGATATGGAGGTTTTATGCGAAAGAAAACCGACCGTATATACTAGATTTCCGGATTCGTGCTGAGCAAGATGAAAGCGGCCGTCAGAAATGGTCGATGATTTGGAACACAATCAAGAGATGAAGGGCCAATTGAGAATAGACACAGCACCTAGGCTTTGATTTGGCACGGTGGTCTAGATAGAAAGGATCAAGGACAAAGTAATGCCGATGAGAGTGAAAGGCAGAGCAACTAAGACATGAGTATTAACTATTACAGGTTGTGTGATACAGTGACCTATATAGATCTATGAGGCCATCAAGGTTCACGGACTTTTTTGGTGTGTGAGCTTTGAGAAACGGAAGTGTGCTGTTGTACAAGGGAAGATGGAAGTAGGTACCTGCCCAGAACAGGCCAAGCTCCCCCAACCTTCCCCACTCTGACTTGGAGATCTCTATGACGTTTATGCATCTAGCGGGGCTACCTGATTGCATGAGCTAGTAGTGTAGAGAACCTAACGACGCGCCTTGGGTTCCGCAACACTGCAACCACCACTAAGATACAACATCATGTTCCTTTCCACATTAACACCCTTTTATAACGTACTCATACAAGCCCTCCAGTTGGACTTTTTGGAAGAACCGCAAAATTACGTGTCGCTGGTTGTTCCCTTGTTTGGCATACTTGCCTCCTAAACCTCGACCCAGACCCTTTTTCCTCTCAACCGGCCAATAGGTAAATATCCTACATTATTTAGGCAATTCATTTTCCACAGCAAAGATGATGTCCATCTGACAATTAGCAACTCCATCTTGATATCCGGACGAAAGAAATCGTATCCAGCAGCTCAGCATCGGCGAGTGCCTACAAGTGACGGCTCCACGCACGGCCCGGAGTCGGGCCATTCGGGAATCCACACAGCGCATCAACCATGACCTTGCCCGCATCCTTGACCGTCTCCTTAGCCTTGTCTCGACGCTTTCCATGGGCAATGCCTATCTCCTTCTTTCTCATGTGGCTCAGGGTGAAGTTGACAATGCCGCGGAATGCGTCGTCGACGTTTTCACCCGTCCTTGCCGAGCACTCGCCATAGCCGGCAACACGGGAGTGGTAGGCTGCGCTGCGACCCATGTCGGCCATGACAGGCTCCTTTCGAGGCAGAAAGCTGAGGCCGAGAGGCGGGAAGGCAGGGCGGAGATCTTTCTTGAGGCCGAGGAGAAAGCGAGGGCAATCGATGAGGGAGCGGTCGAGTTTGGGTTTCCACTGGATAAGACATTGGGTTAGTCACCTAAGCGGTTTCATCCTGAAAACCATGGTGCAGACGTACCGTATCGCAGATGGCCGGAAGATTCTTGACGTCCTCGATGCTGTAGCAGATGATGGCAGCTTGGAAAAAGTTGGAAGCTAGCTGAGTGGTCCGCTCATTAGCAATGTTACCTGGGAAGTCCCAGAGCTCGATAGTGACGAGCTTTCCGTCATCAGCGATGATGGAGAAACTGTGATAATCTGTAGCATGGGACGAGGGAGCGGTTGGGATTTGGTGGTCGGTAATCGGCGAGTGCCGAGGAGTGACATCTGATATCTTTTCCTAGATTGGGTGTTAGCATGTCTTTTGTGGTCGGGTCAATGGCGAGTGCCTACTTGCCTCGACAAATTCTCCTGAAACAAGACGACTATTCGCTTTGCGTTAGCATCTTTCCCCATTCCCATTATCATGACGAGAGTACTCACTTGGCCAACGCCGTCTTGCCTGCGTGAGCATCACCAACCAGGCAAATCTTGATTTTTCTCTCTTGTCCAGAAGAACCTGAGACGGAGCGCAACTTCTCGGAGCCAGGCACCCATGACCAGGAGCTCAGTCGGCTAAACACCTCCCGGGTGCCGACAGATGAAGTACCTGCTTGCTTGGAAGCACGGCTGCTTCTGATACTCCTCAGGCTCATCTTGGACAAGCCACGCTTGAGAGTGTTGGTAAACTTGCTGCGCTTGGAAGCAGGTCGCTCCAGCGTGTCGGCTTGGGAGTCCTGGACAAACCGTTAGCGGCCACTTCATCTACGTCATGGTGCTGGGCTAAGGATGGACGCACAGCTTGACGCTTGATACTCCTCCGCTTGAGAACGCTAAGCATAGAGTCATCCACCTTCGGCCAAATGGTCTTCGCATCGTCCTCCTTGACAATTTCAGTCTTGACCTGGTTCAGTTTGATCTCCCTCAGGATAGTAGGCTTTATAGGGGTGGGTTTGCGAATGCGGCGATACTTCGGGGCGTCGTTTTGGTTCTCCTTGTCTGAGTCGCCGCCGTCTTCTATCTCCATCATCGCATAACGAACGACGGTTGACGCCAGTCCAGATTCATCAGTTTGGGGTTCGGCACTGCTCATTTCGATGTCGTCTCTTTCTGGTCCGTGTTCCACAGGGTCTTCATAGATTATGAAGTCATCATTCTCGACACCCGCCAACCAGTCGTCCATCCTGTCGGTGGCTAAGAATTCAACACCGCCTCTGTCGTCAACAAGCGCTACGCCATACATAGGCACCGGATCCTTAATCTGGTGGTCGATGTTGTCGCAAGGCCTACGGGATCGGGATCCCGAGTGTATGTACCTATAACTGTGGTGGTGGTGGTTCTGGTGACCCGATGCAGGTGCCTTGGTACGAGTCTTGATGTTCTGACTCTCGCGCAACTCCAAGCCAGGGATGTTTGTTTCGAATTCGTGATTCGGATGATAGTCTCTATGGGGTCTGGAAGGGGCTCGACCCACCCTCGAGGACGTATGATGGACTTCTGAGGTTGAAGGATGAGGGAAAGGACTGTGAGATTGATAGCGCGCTGATTGATCACCGCCTGTGTTGGTTTCTGGAGACGAGTCAAGCTGTCTGGCAGGACAAAGGCGGGGAGGGACCCGTAACTTGAAGCTATACGGAGCCGATTCATAGCTCGGTGACGGAGGTGGTCGCATTCCGTTGGCGGGAAGGGGATGACCACCGACCATACGCAACGGTATGCTAGGAGTCGGCGATCGCACCATGTTGGCGGCGACGGTGGAGAAGAGCAAGAAGGACTAGAAGCTGTATCAATGCAAAGGGAAAAAGTGCTGGAACAAGATGGACGATTGAAGAAGAAAGAGGGGCGCAAACTATCGTGATCGGATGTCTGGTTGTTTGCTGGGGTGATCAAGGTCGCGAATGCATAAGAATGGACACAAAAATGAGAACAAGGCCCTCGCGAAACAATCTAGCTGCAAATTCGCAAGCGCCTAACCACAGCCAACTCTGATCCAAGCAAAAAAAAAAAAGACACAGCAAGCTGAACAAACTGTGGCTGGTGCAAAGATCGGGCCGGCAAAAGGTGGAATGGTTTTAAAGGTCCTTGGGCAGGCTAGATGGGATGGAAGGCAAAAGTTATCTGGTTGCCCTAGGAGACATCAGCGACAGGCAGACAACACATTTACGCAGAAATATGATCGAAGCAACCTGATGATGGTCTTGGTTTCAGTTTACCATGTCGTTTTCACTGGATGAGATCAGGCTTGATGCTAAGATGGACAGACAAAGGGTAAAAAAGAAGAGCATATTGGTCGTCGAGTGTTGATGGTTATCATCGAATCCTACAGAAGTTGTGTGACTTACCCAAGGTCTGCCAAACACTCAAACAAGGTCAACACTGGAATCCCCGAGTTCACATAGAGGTATGTATCTCGACGTCTCGGTATTAAATATCATCCTCAACCAACCTGTTCCGTCAAGTCGAGTTGACAAAGTGGCCTACTCTCGCAATGAGTTTCTTATCTGGTACAGTCCAAACATCTTCTGCTGTGAAACTATTCTTTCTTTTACCTTGAGAGATGATCTCCCAATTCAAGCTGATAATGCAAGAAACAAAAAGCCAGTGACCAAGAGGGATGTTGTTGATATGTTGGGTATATGCATAATTGTATATGCAACTATCACAGTAACTATACACACACACGCTTATGTACTTATGCACTACTTGTACATATGGTGCTGCCCGGCAGGAGCCGGCATAGGCCCCACTTCCCCGGATTGCGACATTTGAGCGGAGAAGGGATTCCGTGGTGCGAGGCCCGATTACGGAGTCATACTGACTGCTATAGTGTATCAAAAGCGTAATGGTGCAATAACCCGTGAAAGATTAAAAAGGTTTACGCATCCCAATACAATTACAGTATTACCTCTCCTGTTAACCAACTTACCTTGTCCCTGTGACTCTGTCGTTTTTGTCTTCATGAGCGGATTGCTGCTCCCAATCCTCCGTCGGCCTTCGTCATTGATTCCCACTGGCTTTGTCGTGAAATCACCTCAACCACTTCTTCAATCACAGCGTCATCATCTTCACTACTCCTACCGCCTAATGAGCGCAAAACTCAAGCCCGCCGCCCGCGTGGCCGGCAACCGCCAGGATGTTTGGTGAGTGATCATGAGAAGAAGCCTCACTTACACTGGGAAGAGAATGGCTTGGCTAACATGTGGAGTTCAGGACCATCGTCAACGAGGCCGCCGCCGCCTCGCCCAGACAGCCCATCGTCAACATGGGCCAGGGTTTCTTTGGCTACAACCCTCCCGAGTTCATCCTGAACGCGGCCAAGAAGGCTCTGGACAGAGTCGAATGCAACCAGTACTCCCCAACCCGCGGCCGTCCTAGGCTAAGGAAGGCCCTCTCCAAGGCCTATGCGCCTCACTGGGGGCGTGAGTTGGATCCAGAGACCGAGATCACCATCACCACGGGCGCCAACGAGGGTATGCTCAGCGCCTTCATGGCCTTCATCGAGCCGGGTGACGAGGTTATTGTGTTTGAGCCTTTCTTCGACCAGTATATCAGCAACATCGAGATGCCCGGCGGCAAGATCGTGTATGTGCCCATGCACCCGCCCAAGGAGGGCCACATCAAGACGCTGTCGGCGTCCGAGTGGACCATTGACTTTGACGAGCTCGAGCGCGCCGTCACTCCGCGCACCAAGATGCTCGTCATCAACACCCCGCACAACCCCGTCGGCAAGGTCTTCTCGCGCGCCGAGCTCGAGCGCATTGCCGAACTGTGTGTCAAGAACCAGATCATCATTCTCTCGGATGAAGTCTACGACCGCCTTTTCTACACCCCCTTTACCCGCATGGCTACGTTGTCCCCCGAGGTCGAGAAGATCACCCTCACCGTCGGCTCCGCCGGTAAGAACTTTTACGCCACCGGCTGGCGCGTCGGCTGGCTCATGGGCCCCGCCGAGCTGATCCAGTACGTGGCCGCCGCGCATACACGCATCTGCTACTCGTCCGTCTCGCCCCTCCAAGAAGCCTGCGCCATCGGCTTCGAGGAGGCCGACCAGCAGGGGTTCTGGACGCAATGCATCGAGGATATGCAGAACAAGATGAGCCGGTTCAACGCCATCTGGGACGAGCTCGGCCTGCCGTACTCAATCCCCGAGGGCGGATACTTTGTCATGGCCAACTTGAACAAGGTGGAGATTCCTGAGGGGTACCCCTTCCCGCCACATGTGGCGGAGCGCCCGAGGGATTTCAAGCTGGCGTGGTTCTTGATTCAGGAGCTGGGCGTGGCGGCGATCCCACCCAGTGAGTTTTATACGGATGTGAATGCGCATATTGTGGAGGACTGGTTGCGGTTCGCGGTGTGCAAGCCTGATGAGGTGTTGGAGGATGCTAAGGAGAGGCTGAGGGGGTTGAAGAAGTTCATTAAGCAGTAAAAGGGGGGATGGAGATGGTGGTCATAGATCTTGCGATGATCTGAACAGAGGATTTTGGAAAGACAATACTTTTGCTACTACACGGTGACCTTCGATATGAAGGCATTTTAGACAGTCAGAGTGCGTGTTCTCTTCCTTTTGCCCCTCAAAACACATTTTAAGGGTTTATCAGGTACCATAGGGCTTGATTGAAACGGTCTAATAGCATTTAGAGCACAGCCAAACTCTTTAAAACCCCATCCTCTGCATCATGAGCGATGATCAGTCCTCATTTGACCTTTATTTTCTAGCGTTACTTGGCAAAATGAATGCTCTGGGTATACGAGTAAGACAGAAGACCTTGCTTGCCCATTTCACCGCCAAAACCACTGTCCTTGAAGCCGGAAAAATAGGCGCCCATGTGTGGCCTTTCAGATTTGTTGATCCAAACACCCCCGGCTTCCAGACGACGAGCAATCCGTTCCGCTTGAGCCAGGTCGGAGGAGTAAACGGAAGCACCAAGCCCAGCATTGGCCAAGTTGGAGCGGTTGATGACATCGTCTTCGTCGGACCAGCTCATCACAGGGAGGATGGGTCCTGCAAGAGCGCATAACTAGTAGTCAGTAAACCACTACACATCAAACCCGACAAGAACAAAGATGAGACTTACCAAACTGTTCTTCCTTGACCAACACCGAATCGTCTGGCGGTCCCTTGACAATCGTCGGCTCCAACCAGAACCCCTTCTTCCCCTCCGCATTCCCACTCTCCCTCACCTCGCCTCCCGCCACGATCTCATACCCCTTCCCTTTACAATCCTCGACGATCCTCTTGACCGTCTCAAATTGGACCTTATTACTCACTGGCCCAAACACACTAGGAACACTCGCATCCTCCACCATCGTATAATTCCCCTTGACCTCCTCCACCAACCGCCTCACAAACTCCTCATACACACTCTCATGCACATATACCCTCTTGGTAGCCACACACACCTGCCCAGCGTTAAAAAACGCACCACTAGCCACATTCTTCACCGCTTTGGGTAGGTCGGCATCCGCACAAACAATACAAGCATTGTTCCCTGCCAACTCCAGCGTGACCTTCTTGAGCGTCTTGGCGCAGGCCGCCATGACTGCTTTACCTACCGCAATCGTGCCCGTAAAACTTACTTTTGCGATGCCCGGATGCAACGTCAAAATCTGACCTAGATCCGCGCCGCCGTTGAGGACTTGCAGGACACCAGGTGGCAAGATGCCGCGAGCCAGCTCGATCCATTTCATGACGGCGTAGGGCGTGAAGGGCGAGGGTTTGACGATGACGCAGTTCCCCGTGACCAGCGACGAAACGACTTTTATGCTGGACAGGATCAGGGGAAAATTCCAGGGACAGATGGCGGCTACGACGCCGAGGGGAACGTGCGTGGCAATGATCTTGACGGTTTCATCCTCATATTGGATGTGGTCGGATAAAGCGTTGGCAGGCTGGGCGTAGTGAAGGCATTGGGCAATGGAAGTGCGGACGTCGAGCTCCGAGAGGAGCAGGGACTTGCCGGATTCGCGAGCGAGGATCTGGGAGAGAAGCGGGAGGTGGTCTTCGAGGTTGGTGGCGAGCTTTGTGAGGAGTGCTTGGCGCTCGGAGAGGGGGGTGAGCTTCCAGGTTTTGAAGGCGATTTGGGCAGAGGCGACGGCGTCTTCGAAGTCGGCGGGAGAGGCAATGGGACACGGCCAGAGGGGGGATTCGGTTCGCGGGTCGGTGACGGTGTGGGTGGTGGGGGAGGAGCGGGGGGTGTCGTTGATTATGTTGTGGAATTCGAGTTCTTCCATTTTCTTTGCAGGTCTGGGTCTGAACGCCGGTTTGTGGTGAAGCGTGTGGTGAGAATATCAACGGAGATGATTTCGAGAGGGAATCAAGTATGTATTTAACAGATCATATGGGGGCTGTTACCACTACCTCTACATATTCGTAAGGTGTAGATCAACTTTGCCTACACTAGTGTTTCCCTCTCGACGACGATCAACCACGCTTCCATAGTAACACACTGCCATGATATTGAGCGGGTATACGACCCCGGCTTTACTGCATGGCCTTTTTGTTCAGCCGGGTCAAGATATACCCGGTGAACTTGGCCGCGAAGACACTATGTAGCTCGATCGAGGTTGTGAATGAGGAGAATGCCCGTCGACCAGTCTTTAGAGGAAGTGTTCCTTGTCAATGCATAGCCGCGATGCGGAGAAGGAGGGGCGGGGGGTTGCCATTGTTTGGTTTCAGCGACGGCAGATGGTGGTGATGACCCTATTCGCAAGTGATGCCAAGGGAAGGGTATGTTTGAGGTG